GCTAGGAAACAGATGAAAGAAGATGATAACAAATATCATACACTTTTATCAAATTCAGTTATTTTGCTTTTGTAAAAATCTGTGAGAAAAGAAAATGATGAGCTTTTTGTTTGGGTGAATATTGCACAGCGCAGTGAACACGATGATGGCGACAATGACTAAAGTGATTGTCAAAATGAACTCCTGTCCGTTAACTATTGACGCTGTTTTTGAAATATTTGTGGTTTTGACCTTTAAACTGTGAATGTTTGTCTTTCCTGCCTGTGGCTTTGTCACAGAACAGCTGTGATTTGGACAATTTAATCATAATATCTTGTTCAGGAAGATGAGGCTGTAGCCTGTTATGAAACACATGCTGGGTAGGTTATGCTCAGATCATGCTTTAGGAGGGTGCCAGGCGTCAGGAGAACCATCCAAGACCCCATTAGTATGCATGTTGTGTTTTTGCCTGTCGCCACAAGCATGGGGCACATGTAGACTCAGCCAGTGAGCGCATGTCTGAGCTGAACAGGGACGCAGCTGTCTCTTAAAAGGCCCAATCCGTCATTTTGCTAACCATCTTATTTTCAGGTAGAGCTTATATTTTCATGTATAATCAAAACAGATTGATGGAAATGTTTGTTTATGTTGGCAGATAATAGTTGAAATTGTCAGCATGTTTTGACTTCAAGGGCATCAGAAATTATTTTTAACTATTAACACGACATGTTAGCTTGTTAGACATTGACGAGCTTTATGATTGTGCAGTTCGACTGAAATCTCGCAATATAATCAGGATTATTATTTGAGCCGTGATTGTTGAGCCATATTTCAGGCCTGGCTAACGCTCTGCGTGTACTTCAAGTGCTCTAAATAGACACTTGAGAACCTCAAAGCATCAAAAGGTCACACTGATATGAGTGGTCATCATCCATCATGGTGCTTTCAGCAGCAACTTGCAGAGCAGAAGTTGCATCAGACGTCGCAGATGTCCCGAGTTCAACAGTAAAGACAAACAGTGTCTGTTTAAAGTGTTCATTCAGAGTCCGTGTTTATTGGGGTTGCAATCCATCACGTTTATGGCCGTTGTCGTAAAACATGCTAATTCGCTGTTATCACCCTGGCGAAGGATAAACTGTGCAGCAGAGCTGTAAACAAAGTCTAGTTAGTGAGGACAGTCATGATGACCAAGGTGCCTCTCACAGTTCAAGGCTGCATTACACATTTACAGCTGCTCTAAACCTCACATGCAGTAAAACGTAATGTCTGTGCAGGGGGATTCACGGTCAATTTAAGCAAAGTAATATAAATAATTAATAATTACAGTATTGAGTATGTGTGTACACATTTTTCTCAGGCTGTCCTGTAGTTCTTCCGGGAGGGAAACATGCTTTCTGACTAGAAATTCACAATAATTCAAACTGAGAATTCTGAGAACTGCCCCTTTTAATTAAAACTAGTTTTCAAGTTCTGGAAAAGACAGCTGATAAAAGAAAATGGAAATCCACTTATGTAGCAATTCATACAGTCTGAAATTGCACTATTCCGCTTTAAGATGGCTCATTGATTTTTCCTCTTCTATTGAGCTGTTTTGTGTTTTTGTGTTTGCCATTATGCCCAAGATGCGTTATTAATCAATATGGCATTTGAGGACAGACAGACAGACAGACAGACTGGCTGGAATTTACCAGGAAAGTCCTCGGGTCATTTCGTTTTGGAAAGCAGCACCGTGTTCCTGAGAAGCTGCTGGGGATCAGACAGTCACCCATGAGGAACACCAGGCTTATGCTCCTATGAACATTTAAGTTGCACACAGTTAAAGCTAGAGCTGCATGAACTGGACGTGAAGGTGGGGAAACTGAGGGTTCAACTAACGGACAGTTGACTGCACACACAAATCTCTGGCATCCCACCGATGAGAGCTTTGATCCCACGGTGATCGCAGCCTTTAATGGAATATAGAACAAACTGACCCCTGCTTCTTCTGATTCCCGTTTTTAGATACTGTAGCAGCTCACGGAGTAACACGGCCTCCCACTGCAGATTTTGTAAAGCGTGTTTCTACCGTACCTGAATCTCAGTGAGCTCTCATCTAATACGATTCTGTTAACCGGTCCACTGCTGCACGGCAATATCAACTGCGCTCTTAATACATTATGAGCTAAATGCATCCGTCGTTCATTTGCATTTGAATCTGAAGTTTCAGTGAGGGTGACGCCACCGTGGACTTTGAGCTTGCTCCCCACAGCAAAAGAGATTTTCTTTTTCTGCTCAAGCAAAGTTCCCGTTTCTTTGGCAGGTTATTCACGCTGGTTGATGGTGAGTCACTCTCCAGGAAGAGTGGAGGAGCATGAGTGGGTTCTCTGATGTTTATAGGTTGACTTCTGAATGCTTGAGACCTGCTGGTGCGCTCTGCAGGGCCGTGACATACTGTGCATCATAGACTGGGACGATTGCTGGTGTTATAATCTGTTGTGAAAGTGGACTGAAAAGAATTTGTCACACACACACACGTACAATTAATATTTTTTTGTTATGTTATAGCGAAACATTTCAAACAGTTCATAGTTGAACTTGGAGAATTTTGAGTAAATAATGTATTCAATTTTGTTTCAAGTTTTTCAGCCAACCTCATTTTCCCAGTTTTGGGGATTTTTGTGCCAATTGTGCGATCTGTACTAGTTTTTCACTCCTAGACCTGAGACTTGTGTGAAAAAAGATAAGAGGACTTGAATGCTGTAAAGGACTTACTTGACCAAAAACACTCAAGTCAATTTAATTTATGCACACCGTCCAAAATCACAAGTTTGCCTCAAAGGATTTAACAATATTTTCTTGTATCACTTTGTGATTTCTATCTTCTATCTTCCATCTTGTTCTTGTCAACAGCATTAAATAAATAGTACAAAATGTTTGCTACAAAAATACATTTAGATTGGACTGAGTATGTCTTGGCAGCTCTCTTGGTCATCATGCAGTGGTCGGTCCTCTCTGTGAGTCTGAGCTCTCTCAGCCTCCTTGTAGCTGGAACCATCTCCAGATTACAGATGTGATGCATCATTATCCGCCGACTGAGATGAATGATGAATGCTGGCACCGTCTGCTCTCACCTCATTGACAAACCCAGTCATGATTGCCCCCCCCCTCTTTGTGTGTGTGTGTTACTTTACTGCCATCACTGAATCTTCCTCAGCCGGTGGCATTAGCATTTCTAGGGTTGCACCAACTTTGTTTTCTAGACTGGGATGGTCGGAGGCATAAAGAGATTTCCTGGCTTTCAAAGAGGAAAGGGTCAATAAAAAATGCATGCGGGTGCTTTTTGTCATTACGGAGCCATCACTGGTTGCTGGTTGCAGGTTGAATACAATTTCACATCATGGAAATGAATTAGTCTGAGCTCATTCATTATGGATGCCCATTGGTTTCTTGTTCAGGATGGCCATTGTGTCATTTCTAAATGAAAGCCAGGTAGGGTCGCCGATAGCCTGGCAATGTATTTCAGGATGTAAAACATTTGTCCTGCTGTCTGGCAGAAACCTTTCTGGTCATATGTGTGTCTCTGGGTCGAGCATCAGCACTGACTTTTACAAGATGAAATTAGGATACTCATTTTGCAACAGTATTAATGAGCTGCTGTGCTTTTTGACTTCTAAAGTAGGGCTGGGCGATATGGCCAAAATCATCTATTCAGACATCAATACCCCTTCATATCTTCATAACAAAATACTGATTCTGAGTGACAATACTGAGGTAAGACGGTTGAGAACGCAGGTTGTTTTTCTACAGTTAACACCGATGGTCACCTTGAATATACTGATTCATTCTGTGTTTATTTCCCATTTAACGATTTGTATTTTCAGTTTAATCTGATTTCCTGTGGTATTCGTTTCACCCAAGCCATATCAGTGTCAGAGCTGTTACCTGACAACTCTTACTTTGTTTGCCAACACCTCCGGATCACATGTTTATTACCCCGCAACCTGCCTCCCAGTCCGCTCTGAACAATCTATCCACTCAGGCGTCCGTTTATTCAGCCCCCCCCCACCCCCCCCTGCAGAAAGTCAGAGTGACAGAGTAAAAGCGATGCCCTGGTTGTTATTATCATGCTGCTCTACTGTGGCCACCGAAAGCTTCGGGTTCATCTGCCTCCTCCCTTGTTTGTGTCTGTGAAAACTGAAGCCATTTCTGTCACCTCGCCCACTCTTCCACTGCCTATTTACATGATAAGCCGAGCTCTTGTGTGTTTATTTACACTATCGGATATACAGTAACTGATGGGTCCTTTTGTGACACTGCTGTTCCACTTAGCACCTTGAAACACATTGAAACACATTTCTGTAATTTCAATGTGTATAGCAAATGTCTAATTAATGCGTTTGTTCCTCTTTAAGTTAACTTTCAGTTTGGTTGTCTAATAGTTTATGCTTAAAAATAAGTTGTAGAACAAAAGAGCTAGAGCTGCAGCTAACAATCATCCTCATCACGGATTTATCAGCTGGTTATTTTGTCAATTAATTGATTAATCATTTAGTCTGTAAAATGTAAAAACATAAAACAAAATAGTGAAAAATGTCCATCATGATCTCCCAAAGCCTGAGATGACGTGTTCGCATGGTTTGTTTTGGTCGACCAATTTACAATATCATGAGAAACAATTACTCAAATAACAAGAAGTTTGTAGATTCATTTTCTATTTTTCGAGTAATTGTTGCAGCTCTTAAAAGATCAAATAATTTTATGTTTTGACTTTCTTTTTTTTTTGCTTCTGTGTAATTCTTACTTTTAATTTAATTTGCTAATTTGTACCTAATTTCTCCCTGATCCATTTATTTTGTTGGTTTCATGAATTGTGCACTTTAACAGAAGTATTTTCATCATCAAAAGTAAACCCCTCCACACATCAAATATATGTACATGTATTATATACTGTTTTAGTTCTGAACTCGTTTTTTGTTAAAGTATATTTTGGATGATTAACTATTACAACTTAAGTAAAATGCTCCTTTTGTCTTTTTCCCCAGGTGGTGCTCGTATTTGCTCTCAGCATCGGAGCCCTTGTTATATACTTCATAGATTCTTCTGAGTAAGTATTTTTTGTTAACGTACTTCACTATTAATGCTACTCTGGCTTATGGGTCCCTGCTTTACTTGTTCCACTGCACAATATTTGAGAGATTTAGAAACTGAAAAGTGGCCTTGAGTTTGTCTCAAGTCCTGATGTCCCTCAACGCTTACAGTAGCTTTATTGCAAAAAGTTACAAATCGTCAGTTTTGTCTCAGAGGAATGTAGAAATTTAGCAACTATGCTCTACGGTCTTTGGTTATGTGTTATGAAAAGATGTACTGGATGTATTTCAGATATTTATGATTTTGATTACCCTCAGAAACTTCAGCCATTAACTGGTTCCTACCCTCTCGTAAATCCTGAAAGAATGCATATAGTGTAGTTCTAGCCTTAATTACACTGAGTGCTTTGTGCCTTGTATGTGGTATATGAGAGCAGGTACTTGCTGGCTGTTATGATCCAATCCCCTTCCAGGTTAAACTGCTACGAGCTTGCCGGCGATCTCTGCTGACAAACGGCCAGTGCTCACAGATGCTTAATCTCTATTGAAAGGATCAGACTCTTAAACAGGCAGGAAAGACCCAAGTTCCTGTTCAAAACCAATCACTGTCACTCATCGAACTGGAGGAAGTGGGAGAGCCTTTTTGCTCCATGTGTACCGTTACTGCATCCCGGTGGTGTTTGGACAGGATGTGCCATTAAGAAGTAGAGCAAAATAAACCAGGAAAAAAGCTTTTACCAAGCCCAGAGGGAGTCTCCGCTGGGAGTAATGTTAAGGCAGAGGAGAGAAAATGGGCTATAAAACTTTGTAATCTGGCTCATGCTGCTGGAGGCAGGCGTTCAGGTTATTTGTTATTTCATAAGACTACACAGCTGAGGGCTTGGCTGGCGGTTTGCGAGCATGATCTCATTTCATTACATCCTCACCAATGCCATCTGTGGCCTCCTGTTCTCAGAACTTGCTTGTAGCGGCGCCTGACACCTTTTTCACCTGATGAAGGATGATTTTTAACCTTTTTACACATAAGAAAGGCCCTTGTTATAAATATACAATGAGGTATGATGCTGTAGCATCTGCATAAGTGTCAATCACTTATTTTCATATTCATACAAGGCTCTTTGTCCCAGTTTTCATTCAGTCGTGTCCAGGTCTTTCTATTATTCAGTATTTTTTCACTACCTGTCAAGCCAACAAGCCTGGTACTTAAAGAAAAAGCAGCCAGTCAACTACTGTCTTGCATGCTTCTAAGGGGCAGCCAACAGTAACGGATACAACCCTTCCTGTAATTAGTCCTGTGGGGCTGCTGAGGCTGTCCTATGATGGGCAGGTTGACCTGGCTGGAAGCAGCACAGAGAGAGACAGACGTCAACACAGCAAGACCCACTTAGAATCATAGAGAACAACTCCAGCTACGAGCTGCACAGAGAGGAAGAAGAAGACGGTTAGGTCCCACCGGGAGTTTTACTTCATGAAGCTGTAGTCGTGTCTTACTTTGCACCCTATGCTTCCATGTCGTCCTGTGTTTCATCAATGTTGAAGTAGAGCCAGGTGTCAAACCTCAACACTGAGTACTGAACAAAGCTGCTGTTGAATACTTGGTCATACTCTTATTAGTATACTCTTATTCTTTTGCCACTGGGGAGCAGAAAAACTTCACAACAAGCCGACAAACCCACAGCCATAATTGTCCTGAAGTTTTATCTTAGAGTTCACGTATTCAATTCATTTCATTATTTATTTGGTATAGTTCAAAATCACAAAGCACACATTTGCCTCAGAGGGCTTTACAATCTGTACAACCTGTACAGCCCAAAGTATCCCATTCATCCCTTATGTTTTGGCCACTTGGAGGCAGCGCAGCAACCTTTAAACATTGACATGTTATCCCCTTATAAAGCTGTAAAGTTGACAGGGAGGAACATCAGCATTCTTTTAGGCATTTATTTTGCCAAATAAAAATGATAGTTTTGTAGAAAAGCATACTTATATTGCTCAAAGTAAGGTATAAAAAAAATACATATTGTATTCAAACTTGTACTGAAGATTTTCAAACAATACCTGGTTGAAGTGATCTACGTGACCTTTCGCTCTCAGTGGATTAAGCCTTTCTGCAGTGCCATCGCATAACATCAAGGTCTCCTCCTACTGTTTGATCTGAGTCTGAATTGAATGAGGGAGAGAGAGACCAGAGCGACTTTGGGCAGGAAGGGTTTGTGATCCATAACGGGCTTAGTCCTCTTCCACACCAGGTCTACTGAAACTCAATTATTTAGCACCGCAGGTCTGCCTCCGCTATATGGTCTGTCACCCTGCTATGACGGGGATTTGCCAGGCTGATATGTCATTACAGTGAATGAGGGCAGAACTATCCAACGTATATTAGGACTATTCTTAGAGATGCCTAAAAGAAGATCAGCTTTTCTTTATCTTCATTGTTACTTTTGAGGAATTGTCCAGATGCAAGACAATTGAATGTAACAGTTAAGTTAAATGTATCTCTTGGGTTGAATAAAAGAAAAAAACAAAAATATGCAAACGTTAAATTAGAGTACAATCAAAACAATAACTTTTATTTGTAAAAGTGCTGATCTTTTCAAAGGCAAGAAGTCCCTTACAGACATTTGCTCTTTTTTTCCATGGACAGGGTGTGTATTGTTTTGCATTGAAGATGCAAAAAGTTGATATGGATGTTTTATTTTCTTGTTTTCAGCCCTTAGGAAGAATATTAAGGTAAATAAATAGGAGTTATATAAATACTGCCTCGCTTTGGGATGAGATGTGATGGTTGCGTGAGGCCGATGAAGATGGATTGAGTCCTCATCACATCACCGACCTGATCATCAACCGAGTGTCACTACTGTGCATCAGATCGGGTCAAAATTAATCCCTGAGGTATTTTAATATTACCTAATTCCAACTCCACAAGGACAGCATTTTATCAAACAGAGGTTATTCAATTTCTTTTTTTACGTAACAAAAGCAATTTGCTTTAATCCGACTGGTATTAAACAGCACAGGGGAGATTGTTGCTGTTGATTGTGAGTGTAGAAGACTAACAAAGACACACAACAACAAACTAAATGTACGAGAGGGACCTGGTTGGCACTGACATGCTGCAGAGAAGAAAGACATGATTCACGATAGCGTGCGCTTTGGGGAAGTGTTTTAATCAATCTATCATTGATTGTATCATTTTTGAGGACTGATGCGGTAGAATGATCCCGTAATTTACATGAAAAAGCAAAGATTACAGAAAAGTCACAATGTATTCCTGACATTTTTTTCCTCAAAATTATAATTTCAATTTTGATAAATGAAAATGTGTGTAGTAGAAATAGACTGTATATGTTTTGCTTTTATTATCCTGTTAATCATCTAATTTACCGACCCGAATGGCAACTAATCATCATTTTCACTATCAATTAATCTACAGTAGATTGTTCTATTTGATCAAATCGATCATTTTTACAAGTTCCCGGAGTCCAAGTTGGTGTTTGTTTGACCAACAGTCCAAAAGCAAATGATATAAAACCCAGAAAAATAATCAATCCTCACATACTAGAAGACGGAACCAGCTAATTAATCAAACAACTAAATTGTTCTGGCATATAAATGTTCTAGCAAACGACTAATTGATTTATGGACTAATTGTTTCAGCACTAACGCGATTAATTAACCAGTCACTGTTTCTATTACGACAATCTTCCGTTTGATTTTTTTATCAATGTCACTCAACTATTCATTCAAATGGTATATTAATCAAATGGCATTGTTTGATTTTGAATGTACAGTAAACCTGTGTTTTCATTTTAGGTGTGAAAAATATTTTGAGAAGGATATCGTTCAACTGCCAGTTCATATTTTTTATGACACAACCCTACTAACCTATTACAGTCACATTCACCTGGTTAATGATTTCTCTTTATTTGAATTCTTAGTGCCAGATACAAGCTTTTTGCGGGTGAGACTTTACTGCATTGCTAGCATTTGCTATGGCTGCCTGATTTCATAGAAGAAGACTTGAGCCCTGCATGCATTTAACCCTTAAACTACTGCCTTGGCTCTGCCTTTCCATCATGTTTGAATTAATTTGTTCCTGAAATGTTTATGAGATCGGAAATGTGGGCCTGAGAGGAAAACAGCGGCATTTTCTATAATGTGATATGGCACCTGGAATATGACAGATTGTTTTGCAGTTATTTAAGGGTTAATCAGGCATCTCGACAAGTTATTGCTTGTGTGACAATGAATGCATGTCCTTTCTCAACAGAAAAAACATTGGAAAATACTATTGCACTTTTTTTCAACACTTAAGTTCCCTCTTCTTTTGGAAATCTTAAAAGTGGAAAAAGGAAAAGAAGAATTCATCTTTTATGCTTTTTTATACCATTGATATATATGCATTTTACCAACCCTTTCCTCACTTGACCACTAATATTTGTAAGACATCAACATACTTTGTTTCTCTCTCTGTCTAATAGTCCTATCGAGTCCTGTCAGAACTTCTACCAAGACTTCACGTTGCAGATCGACATGGCGTTCAACGTGTTCTTCTTGCTGTACTTCGGCCTCCGTGTAAGTAAAACGAGTAGATGTCCTTTATTTACACTCTTATCTGTGTACCTGAAAACTGTGAATCTCACCTTTTAACCCTTAATTTCCATCAGTTCATTGCCGCCAATGACAAGCTGTGGTTCTGGTTGGAGGTGAACTCGGTGGTGGACTTCTTCACGGTTCCTCCGGTGTTTGTGTCTGTGTACCTGAACAGGAGCTGGCTCGGTAAGGATGCTCCCATCTCTCCCACAGGCTGATCAAACAGGCGCTGCATTGTAGAGTGGATTTTTCGGCTTTTATTTCCCAGAAGCTTGGGCTGCCACCCAGTGGATTTAACGGGTCTAACAGTTGTCAATGAAAGCACCAGATAATCTCAGCACGTCCCTAGACTTGCATTACATGGGCACACCTTTAATATTTGCCATATAAGTTTGATAATTTTGTCATGAAATTAACTCTATGGCATGATATACATGAAAAGTTTGAATGATTTTCGCCATTACTGTGGAAATGGTGCATCAAATTAAAAACTCTGCCAGAGCACAGCATGAAACCTGTGAATTATGGCGACTCCATGGCTCAATAAACATTACTCGTCAAACTAATGCTTGTTTGCATGACAACGCTATCAAATATTGTATGGCTGTCATCTGGTGTGCCATTTAAACTTGCATTCATGCAATCTGATTTAAATGGAAATGTAATCGGCTCCATGTCTTTGGCCATGTGCTGTGGGCAGTGGGCATTGTGCTGCAGGTGTCATTCACATGCCCTTCATCTCTCCGGTATAACTCTCCAGCACACCTGCAATAACGCTCGAATGAAACCACGCTGTGATTGTGAAATACACGAATGGATTAAAAAGACAGGTAATAGGCTTTGTTGGGGCCTTGATCGCTAGAATAGAAGTCAATCTGCTAAATGTGTGAGGCTCATCACTTGGAGAGGTCTGTGAGGAATTACAGGATTAAGGGGGATCTCTCTGTTTTTTTGCTGCGTTGCAGGCTTTATAGCTGCTTTTCCTTCTCCTGTCAGCTGAGGAACAAACCGTCCATGTAGCCGACACCGGCATTGAACACCCTCTACTTTAGAGTCAGTATGACAGCTTGATCGGTTCAGTTGCATAACGTGCCTGTGTATTTTCCCTAGGCTGATGCACTGTGAGTGACTTTCGATGGGAAAACAACAAAAAGTAGGACTAGCTAGTGCTGGTTGCCGGTGCCATCTAGTGGACATGAGAGAGTATGACAGTATTGCCATGATTTTGTTGTTTTTTGGTATGGGCAGCAGTCTAGAGTGTCTGTATCATTGTCAGTTGCATTATACTGATTTTTATTGGCCATTTTATTGCCATAGTTGTTGCAAACGGTGACTATATTCAAGCTTGTTTTCTTGTGGATATTTTATGCGCAACATTTCAAAGTGTGTACTTTTTTTGGTCGTGTTTTAAACTTTCTTTCATTGCATGCACATTGGCTTTTGCTCTACATTTGTGCTATCTCGTGCTTTTATTTATTTTCTGATCATGCCTCCACTTTTTTTCTACATGCGTAGATATAATGCTGTTGTTTGATAGAAGAAGGGGAAAAAAAATCACAAATGAATCCCTCAGACCCACCCATCCCTGCAGAGCATCTGTGAGGTCTGTGTGGATGGAAAGACGTGTTACTAACAAGCCACACACTGAAAAATATACATCAGGATATAATTGAGAATAGATTGACCAAGACACCAAATCACAACAATATACTTCAACTACATTTTGTTTGGTACGTCACTGTTGTTTTGGGTTTAAAGACGGTAATGGTTGTGAGGAGAATTCAGCTGCTCGGTGTGATGCTGCTAGTCTTGTTTTTGCTGAAGTTGTCAGAGATGTGATGGAGGATGGACCTACCCTCCTACCCAAAGATTTGCATGACATTGCAATATTTTCTCTACATGATCGTTTTTGGCTGCATTACCCAGAACAGTGTGACCATTACTGCGATTCTGTTGTTGCTGTTACCCTCCTCTTTTGTTACCGTCTGTGTAGGTGTTGCCGTTTTTGTTATCTGCTCTGCCATGCATGCACGCTGTACAGCTCTTCTATTTTCTGTATTTCACACAAACCGAAAATGCAGCACTTTATTCCAGATTCCCAACAGCAAATAATCAAAGCCTTCATGCACGTAGTTGACCGAATACAGATTTGAATACTTTAGTATTGTATCTCAATCTGTATCCAGATGTAGTGATTCAAAAAGATCATTATTATTCAAATGAACATGAAGCGTAAAAAAAATATACTGATAGTTCCTGTGGTGTTTAGAATGAGTTCCAGTGGAAGTACTTCTGTCAGGCGTTATCTTAGTCAATATGGTCAGTGAGCAGTTGGTCGTGGAGGATTAGTCACTGATTTACTGTTCGGTTAAACTGAGGTCAAACCGGTGAGCAGGTCATAACCAGCTCAGCAGCATCTGTTCGCAGCTGTCCAACTCCCTCTTCTGATCAAAACTCAATCCTCCCGTCTGAACATTTTGACACAAATACACACACGGAATGTGCCAATATTCTCTCATACTAACGTTGATGCACGACAGGCTTGCAGATGGGCGCATGACACACATTTTAGATGTTGCGTAGGAAATACCTTCATGTAGAAACAATATACAGCAGCTAATAAGCACCATGATATGTTTTTACTGCAAAAGTCTGAACTCAGGAGCTGAAATTCTGACCTGCTGTAGGTGTGAAATACTAGCAGCACATTTATCTCTGACAGTGAAAATAGTCCAGTGCAACTCTTCCACATTTAATGAGGTAAATACAACACAACTCATCCAGATAAGATATTCATGTCTTGGGGGCCACATGTTGCAGTTTGTTTTGTCTGGAGCTGATAGTAAAACACAGAGAGAGGCTTTTGCATTAAACTGTCCACTGGAACTAAATGTCCTCTAATGCAAACGTCCTAAGGCAGTGGGTTCTAACTATAGGGGCTCAAACCTCCTCTTTAATGATTAAAGATTTTACTGGTTTGATAAAGGGAAACAAGTGAGACGCTGTTCTAGTTTGTTGTGCAATTCTCCATATTAGTTAATATTTATACATAATATGTATTCATTAGACGATAGACAGATTTCTTTTTTTTTTTTTTGCATGTTTTTGGTTTTTATGCTTGTTACGCCTTAAATCAAAACAATGTTTTCTTGCGACCCTGCAAATGCCTACTGTGGGGCTCCAGTTGTGACCAGTGCGACCACTTCTAAAGGGATTTTTAAAAATGTTATTCCAATAATAACTAGAGTCCTGGAGAAGCAAAATGATGCATTAAACAACAGGAAAAAGCTCAGATTAAAGTAAAGGCTGAGAAGAGTAGCATCACTTTTTGTAGCAGATCTGTTAATCAGATTAATGTTGTGACCCTTTTGGGGGTCCCGACCTCCAGGTTGGGAACCTAGGTTTCAATTTGATCTGTAATTAGTACAAAATTACACATTTCCACAAACCTTTATATGAATTAACATTTATGATTTAGTTGTTTTTTAGGACATTATAGGAAACTATAGAACCTAAGGCAAATAACGCTTTTTCTTTTTCTTTGCTTTTTTCTTCAGAAATATTAAATATAAATCTATTTAACTTTTATACTGCTCATTGTTTGTACTGAAATTATTCAGGGCACATTTGGTATTTTGCTGAAGTGACACATATTTCAAATTGTTCCGATTAAGTGGACTTTGCAGCTTCGTTTTTTCATGCTGCGCATTTAGATTTAACGTCAACTACAATAGTTATTACATCAGCTGTGATTAATTTAGGGATTATTGCAGAATCACTAAATCCATAGAAAAACACAATGATTGCCAAAGCTTGTCATTTTTCTTTCCATACACAGCTTTACTGGTTGTTCACATGACTTGTTTCCTGCTATAAAGGCGAGACATGCTGTTCTTGTCCAAGATTAGAGAATGAAATTTGGTTTGTCCAGAGCAGTTGCTGGGTTATATGAGATGAGATGTTGGTTACACTGTGAAGCCAGCTGACGGACAGACTCGCTGCCTGGCCTCTTCCTTTCCCTGGATGAATCCTAAAGGAGCTTACACTCTAATATCCTGATGGGAAAAGGGTTTGCTTTAAGCTCGACGAATGCGCCCGATCACAGCGAGGATGCTATGAAGGTCTGAGGTGAAATCCAAAAAGGCTTCTTCAAAAGGAGTCCTTTTTTGACGCCACCCTGTTTGGTGGCAATATCATGAAAGCACCTGATTCTTTTTGTGTTTTTTTCTCTTTTTGGAGAAGAATCATATTTTTTCTACACGATAGCTGGCACGGTGGATGCAGAATAGTGAAGAGGTGGATGTGAAGAAAATTTTGGACTTGACGTTTGCTTACCAAAAGTAACTTTCAGACATGATTCCCGCTAAGATATTAGTGTACAGGGGGCCCGATGGAGGCACACACTCTCAGACGGTTTCTAACACAAGAAGGCGCAAGAAATCAACCGGGGAGCTCTTCCACAACGGCTACAGGGTCAGGATGAGCCACGGGCAGGTCAGCGAGAAAGAGGACCAGGACAGCATCTGCTACAGCCTGGGTTCATGCTTCCATGTAATCTCCTACTGGGGTAAGACCTGCGGGACGTGGGAACGAGGGGAATCTCCGCTAAAGCTGAAGGCTGGCGTGTCCAGAGGTCTTTGGACTCCAGCTGGAACAGGTTCAGGATTTGCTCTGTATTATGTTCCCCATCTGGCAAACGCTCACTTGAAAATGAGAAATTAGCTTTTGGCAAGCCACACCACGGTTCACGTCATTTTATAAAAAAATATTTATTTTTCTGTCTGGCTGAATGATTGCCCGTAACGTCTTTGATTTGTGTCATTTGGCATTCACACAAATCTATTCCAGCAGAGAAGTTTAAAGCATGCAGAAATGGATTTTACTTGAATGCTTACTTTTGGCTGAGGTGGCTTTTAATTGTTTATGCAGCATTGACACTGTGGTGGATTGTGCTTTTTTTTTAAAAAACTGAGTCGGAGCTATGAATCATTTGGCTTTTAAACTCAGGAGGGGAGTTCCTTTTTAACAGGTAGTTTACTGCAATGTACCTTAATGATGACACAGGCACAATAAAATGTGTTATCTTGCTTTATCAGTCCTGTTTTTAATGAAGATTGTGATTTCTGTGTGGAGGCGGCAGTAAAATAGTTATGAGGTTGGGATTTAACGTATATGTAGCTTAAATGATGATGATGATGATACAGTCGATCAGTAATCGTGTAGAGGAGCTCAGGCTGGTGTTGTCACAGCTGATTTTGTTGTTGTTTTGCTGTCCTTGAACTCTCGGCAAAGCTATTTTTTTTTTTTTCTTCCTACAAATTTAGGATTTGACGTCACGTCTGTTTAATCATTGAGGTTGATGCGACAGTGTCCACCTGTCTCTAATCCAGGTTTTCATAACGTCCACGTTTAGAGTTTAACTCAGCAGGAATGAAACGTGTATCAGGCAGATGCCGGTGATTAAAACAGACTGAGTTGGTGAAGAGATACCTGGAGTGTTGCGATCGTTTTCTCCACATATTCCACAAAGTTTTATTTTATGATACAGTGAGGCTCAGTGTCGCTTGATCAGTTGGAGTTTATCAATATGAATCCAATGAAGTTGATAAACATGGATGAAAGTATGAAAGGTAAAGTGTTCTTGCACAGTCAAAATGCTTCTGATGTTGTTCTAATTGTTGTTATTCATCTCTGATAACTTCTTTATGGTCTTTTTCTCACAGGCTTGAGGTTTTTGAGGGCCTTGAGGTTGATACAGTTCTCAGAAATTTTACAGTTTTTGAATATACTAAAGACAAGGTAAGTGTGTTAATATCTTATTTGAATCTCTGCCAATGAATCAAACTGTTTGTAATGTTTTAACCAGTCAATGTGTGGGCATTGCATGTAAAGTGATGTGATCTTTTTTTTGTAGCTGTAAGCATGAATATAGTCGTACTTTCAAGGAGAGAAGTAAGCCTTTATGCAATGTCTTTAGCATTTAGCAAATTAGCATGAGGGCTTGCTTTCATTTGATCTGGTAAACATTGATATTAAGGAGTCTTGAGTCAAACAACACTCTGTTTGTCTCCGCGACGCTTAGTGGTAAAGCTTTTTGCACAGATGTCAGGAAGAGCTTATAGCGCAACAAACTGTTTCAGAATAATCTCCTCTCTCATTCACTCAGATGAGGGTAAAGACAAAAACGCACACAGTAGCAGAGGACAGAGGTCACGCGAGGACTATTTCTGCTTTTTCTCTTATTTAAAGAAAGTCACCCATATAAATATTACCTACACAGTGAGGAGAGCATCACGTTTACATTTGTCATATCTTTTCATGGCATGGTATAAAGTATCACTTTAAGTATCGGAAATATATTGTAAATGTGTGATCAGCCAAATATAAAGTATGCAATGTGATTCAATACATGTTAATTGAAAAAAAAAAAATAATAATTTAATTAAATGCAATAGCTGTAAAGATTTTTAGAACATGTTATATTATGTTTCTTGGATCACATGTTTTCTATTTTTAAGTATTAAATCTTATATAATACTTAAATCTGTTCATAATATTTAGCAGTTTCTCACTGTAGCTCCTCTCTTATGTTATTACTGGATTGAATATGAACACTATATAATACATTTTAGAGCATTTATCTTGCAATCTAGCAACTTGTTTTGACATCTTCAACTATTTTCATGATACCAATGTAATAACTAATCATTAACAACTGGTATTGTTTTTTTTTAGCAACTCAATAAAGCTGGTGAACCTGTGTTCAATCTTCATAAGCACATGGCTAACTGCAGCAGGATTCATTCATTTGGTGAGTTAGTGGGAGCCAGTCTGTGAAAGTATGCTGGTAGTGCAAATAGGTGCTCATAATTACATGCTTTTTTTTATTGCATCGTCAACATCCTTTATGTGTTTACCCGGTTGATGAACAAATCTCAACCTCTGTTCCAGGTGGAAAACTCGGGGGATCCTTGGGAAAACTTCCAAAATTCCCAGGCACTTTCGTACTGGGAATGTGTCTACTTACTCATGGTTACAATGTCCACTGTTGGCTATGGAGACGTTTATGCAAAAACCACCCTGGGCCGCCTGTTTATGGTCTTCTTCATCCTTGGCGGTCTGGTAAAAATCTCTCTTATTATTTACTGCTTAATATCCTCCATGCAACCAATCGTCACAGCCCGCCAGGTGTTAACAAGCGTCGGGACGCTCTGAACTCAGGACGCCCTTCACCTGTTGTTTACACTGAGCTGTTTTTGTGGCTCACCACAGTATGTTGCATGTCATGCATTGTATGAGTTGTCTACAGTATTGCAGCATTTATTCAGGTATAATGCTAAAAGTTTTGTTCTGTTATTTATGAATTCCTATATGACGTAGAATATTGGATATTTTGTTGCATCTGTTATTAACTGTAAAAGTACTGCGGTTTCAGGTGGCTCCTTTCTGTCTCTCTGCCCCTCCCCCTACCACCCCTACACTCCCCGCCGCCCCCCCCCCCCCCCCCCCCCCTCCCTCTTTCCAACAAACACAATGACACAGGCAGGATTTGTTATAGCCTAGCTTGATGGATGAAGCGACGTTATGTCAGTTTCTGCACAAATATTTAAAGACATATTAAGGGATAAAATGCATGGAGCTGAGATTTTACAGAGAAATTACAAGATGAAGAAATTCTTAAATCTTAAAGAAAACATCCTTTGTGGGATTTGCTACAGACCCGAGTGAGTTACCTGATAAAGATTATTTGGAGGAAACCATTATCCGGATCATAAAGTATTATTCAGGAGTGGATTAAACAGCATGGTGACACACTGTAATATAGGTAGAGTTGAGTCTTAAAGGGATTTAAGTGACATTTTATATAAAGACAAAATTAAATTTCAATCAATACATTTCAAACTCAAAGTAATCTCATATTATCTTTCGGGCAAGAACAGTTTGAACTCTTTGATTCTGACAGTCGGTTCAAAGTTACGGTGTGAAGCCAGACATTGTTCAAACCCACAGAGTTATATTTAATATTCTAGTGGAGATCCAACTTTCAAAAGATACCAGATGTGTCAGGCAGAATTTCAGAGAATTATGTTAAACATTATGCAAAATACATCAATATTCCTGATGGAACAGTGCAGTCATAAAATATTTGGAGTTTTTTTCCAAACTTAAAGAAGCTCAAAGAGGAAATTAAAGGAAGTTTTTGTCCGTTTCTCATATTTTATTTTCATGATAGGTATTGCAAATTAACTAAAAGAGGATATTCTTTACTCATAACAACAACAAAAAAAGGAAAAACAGATATGTATCTATACTGTCATTCTTGACATTACATTTAAATGTGTATATTATCTATAAAAACATGTTAATGTGAACTGTAATGAAAAAGATGTATTCAAAGTTATTATTTTGCTCTCTCATCAAATCTGTGAAATTGTACTTGTGCCCTTTTTTTGCACTCATTTTTTAGTTTGTAAAATAATAATAACAGACGCATGTGAATTCTTCAGGTCGTTGTGCAGCAGTGTAGAGCCTCAGAGTTACGGTAATGTCTGCCATCCATTCGGCAGCGCTATCCAAATCAACCTGACGCGTGTTTGTTGGACGAAACATGGCACATAAGGCTTTTTTCTTAATGATTTCTATTTTTCTATCACAGATTGACAAACCGCTCGTCAGCTGTCATTTTTCTCCTTTACTCTTCCAATATCCGTAAATATTGGCCTTGTATTTTCATTTTTCATTTTCATAGTTTTATTTAATATTTGGAATGTAACTGTGATATAACTTCAGGCTACATTCTTTTTTTAAATTTTACTTCTCCTACACACACAGTAGAGTTCCTCTTTTAGTGGAGTTTCTTTAAAAAATAAAAATAGAGGACCTGCTCTTCTTTGCCTATCTTTTTTTTAGTCTCTTCTTGTGTCTCTTATCTTCTCCTTAGGCCATGTTTGCGAGCTACGTCCCTGAAATCATAGAGTTAATAGGAAACCGCAAGAAATATGGTGGTTCCTATAGTGCAGTTAATGGGAGAAAGTAAGTATACTCCGCCGCAGTAGAACCTTCTCTGCATGCCCTTTTCTTTTTCTTTTTCATGCATGTAGGCCATGTTTGCTCGCTACGTGCCAGAAATTGCTGCTCTCATCCTTAATCGGAAGAAATATGGAGGGAGTTATAACTCGACCAGAGGCAGAAAGTAAGTCAATCAAATGAAAAAAACAATATTATATATATATATATTATATATTAATGGTAAGAATAATTTCAATTAATGCGAAAAATATATATATTTAATGACAGAGCCAAATTAAATTATAAAGTTGATAAACCCAAGCTTACCGGAGTTCAGTATTTGTTTATCATTTATTTAAATGATCAAACTCATACATCCAATCCTGTATGCCATTGCTTGCTTGCTTCATGCTGACTTTTTGGAATTTTGTTTTCTTGTTCTTGAAAAACTTGTGTTGCTGTGCTTGTCTATTCGTCACGCTTTGCTTCTGAATATTCTTGGCCTTTCTCTGCAGTCTGACCTACACCTTCAGGACTAAATATAATCTATATTGAGTTTACGGGAATAGTTAGAGAGTTAGACGATAAGAACGATACCACTCTCATGTCTTTTATGATAAATATTAGGCGAGAGCCAGGGGGGCGATTAGCTTAGCTTACCTTAGCATGCAACTCCCAATAATACTTGTCGTGTTTACATACATTTGTGTGCATGGATTTAAAGAAAAGCATTCATTGGTTATCTTTAGAGGACGTGGTTTGTGTATTTCCTTCTTTGGATAGCACCAGGCTAGCTGTTTCAGCTAATCAACTCCATATTTAAAGCAAAGACATGAGAGTGGTATCAATCTTCTCGTCTGACTCTTGGCATAAAAAAATAAGTGCATTTCTGAAAATGTCAAACTATTCCTTTAACATATACACTTTTGTGTCCCAAGCTTTCCAGCTGTCTCTAAAGATAGTGAGATTCTGCTGGATGCCTCCAAACAAAATATGGCTTTTGGTAGCATGCTATTGGTACTCGTGCTCGTTCACTTAGTTTTAAAGAAGCCAGACTTGGTTTGGGAAACTCTCTCAAACCAAATCTTTACTTCTTTTGTCTTGAAGAAAACTGACAATTAGAGCTTTGTAAGTTCACTTTTGTGTATCTTGTACACTTTTGTATTCATTATTTTGTCTAATTTGTTAATTATTGGTAAATTGAACATTTATAATCAAACTTGAGACGTACTAGGAGCTGAAGCAAACTATCAGTATGTTTGTGTTTTTGTATTTTGTTGTAATTACTCACACAAACATCTGGTCGACACAGTAGCTTTACAGTTTTAACAACTTAGTAGTTATATTTCACCAACAGAAAAATCAGGTCATGTAGTTATACCTGTTATTTTTGTTTTGACCTCTTGCATTTAAATATGCATGCATTATTGTTTTTCTATTTCCTTCTGTTTTCTTCTTCATGTCTACTTGTTGTCACTAGCACCATCATTACTGTCAGATATAACATCCTCTTGACAACAATGATTTGAATACATTTATTGAACATTAAAACCTCAGAGAATCACTGCAGTACAGTGAGCGATCATCTGAAATTATTTTCTAAATAATTCATAAATAAAAATATAATACAGACATATAGGAATAAATCCAAACTGGGTTCCTTACATAAAGGATCTGTGATGTGTGGGAATCAAGATAAACTGTGTGCTGATTTCATAATCTCCATCTAAGTAAACTCTGATCCTCTATAATCTGATTCTGAAATCCACAGTGCTCTCTGACCTGTATATTCAGTTCTCACTCGTCACGACGGGGACATCAAACAGCGCTCCTGTAACACAGTTTCTATTATTTCAAATAAATCACCTGAATACAAACAGTACTGATTACTTTTACATTACATCTCTCTCGTCTCAGATTCACCTTTTGATTCCAGGACAAAGATGAAGATGAAACAACGATTTGTGTGTGTGTGTGTGTGTGTGTGTGTGTGTGTGTGTGTGTGTGTGTGAGTGAGCGTGTGTTTTTGGTTTTGGACACTTATTCCGACTCCATTTTAGTTTCATTATGATTCTGCACTTCCTTTTCCAGGCACATCGTGGTCTGTGGTCATATAACACTTGAGAGTGTGTCCAACTTTCTAAAAGACTTCCTACACAAGGACAGGGATGATGTCAATGTAGAAATTGTTTTTCTTCATAAGTAAGTACAAAATATCAAGTACAAAACTACAGAGCCCCGCAAGGGACATGGAGGTGGGAAAAATAAAAAGGTTATAAAAAAAACTGGCCTTTTTTACATTGCTACAACCGCTGACTGAGGGTTCGTCTCTGGGGCTGATTTTTTTATTGACCTTAATGACAAACCTTTGCAATATCTAGCAAAATTAGATATGTTCTTTTCTCAACCTTTGATATTCGTATTTTTCCCTCCATGTCCTGTTCTGAGTCTCTGCACAAAACAGCAAATATCTTACTCAAGAAAAAAACAATTTTTCAGGAGATTAGAAATAATGTTCGTCCTCACATGTAAGAGTTTCTCTTTTATTCTCTCAGTATTTCCCCTAATCTTGAGCTGGAAGCCTTGTTCAAGCGCCACTTCACTCAGGTGGAATTTTACCAAGGATCTGTTCTGAACCCACACGACCTGGCCAGAGTTAAGGTAACTGACAGATGATCCTTCATCCTCTGTGGCTGAGAGGGAAGCTGTGATGTCCATAAAGTCTATTCCTAAAGTTACTGACAAGTTGGATAACATTATGTGTTTGTTTCCAGATCGAATCAGCTGATGCTTGTTTGATCTTAGCCAACAAATACTGTGCTGACCCTGATGCTGAGGATGCATCCAACATCATGAGGTAAACCAAAGCAGCTTCTCCAAGATTTAGACTTTTTCTTCAATTCATGTAATTTTGGTGTGGAATAAGTAAAAATCTGTAAAAGTTCAAACTAGGATGAGAGAAATTGGTTTCAGGGATTGTCAAGTTACTACTTGAATACAAAGGAAATGATCATGAAGAAGAACAACTTTAGTTCCTGGAAAGGAAAGATGCACTGTTATTTTGATGCAACACAATAAGCTTAATAGAGAATTGCATTAAGGGTTGATATATTCTGCTCGTAGAAGTCAGAAATTCATAAAGATATCATATAGGTGCTTTATAAAGTTGTGTATTAATGTAGACTCCTATTAGGAGCCCTAGGTATTTGGAACTGCAGATACAATAGACTGGGATATATGAAATGTTACCAAATGGTCATACTTCTGAAAGTGAATGCCAGATGTGTTCCCACTTCTTCCTGGACGTTAATTGTGAGTGTAAGTGAGCGTGTCGGTGCTGGCTCTCACTGCAAGCACACAGACTCTCTGCATGAACAAACTTCTGGTGCTCACTTTCCCTTTTGGAAACTTATCAAGAACTCGGAGAGAAAACATGAATCTGTTACAAAAAGCACGATTTTCTTCTATAAGAAGAGACGACACACTTTGTTTGTCTTTAGCTTCACATCTCTGGGCATAAATAACGTCCGTCTGTAAATTGTGTTGATATTTAGATGAAAGGAATTTTTAAAAAATGTTTTATGAATGATACAAACATGCCCAGAAAAAGTAGACATTGACGGAGGAAAAGTTTTATGCAAGTGGTCTGATTTAGTTTTGTTCTTTCTGTCATGCTTCAGAGTAATTTCTATCAAGAACTACCATCCAAAGATCAGAATTATCACTCAAATGCTGCAGTACCACAATAAGGTTGGTGTAATCTTTCACTTCTACGTGAGTCATTAATTACTGTAGATGATTGTTTTTGTCACATTGTAGCATTTTGATCCACATATTTATGTTTGGGTTACTACTTTGGTCTGCACTGATGTCATTTGGAAATATTTGTATTGTTTAATCCTTTGTCTGTCTAAGTTTTAAACAACTTGGAAACATGTTTGAAATAAATGTTTAACTACAGTTTGTGGTTCTGTAAAGCTACCATGTTAATTTGTTATGTCTGCCTTAAGGCCCACCTTTTAAACATCCCGAGCTGGAACTGGAAAGAGGGAGATGACGCGATTTGCCTTGCGGAGCTAAAGCTGGGCTTCATCGCTCAGAGCTGCCTGGCTCAGGGCCTCTCCACCATGCTGGCCAACCTTTTCTCCATGAGGTCCTTCATCAAGGTAGCCACAGCTAAGATTCACCCACCTGTGCCCACTGGATTCAATTCAGAAGTTATGTTGTCCAGAAACATAGTCTGAATAGATCATAATGATTATCCCAGATGAGGCCCATGTGCAGCATCTGGTGAACGGGGATGAACTTGCAAAAACAATAAAAAATAATCTTGGTTAATGAATTTAGCTACTTTTGTAATGGAACAAGCTCTCTGTATTGTGTGACACGTCTTTGTTGTAGATTGAGGAGGACACGTGGCAGAAGTATTACCTAGAAGGAGTAGCCAATGAGATGTATACCGAGTACCTATCCAGTGCCTTTGTGGGCATGTCCTTCCCTGTAATTTGCGAGTAAGTACACTGAAACAAAGGCTTTTTTAAAACTATGTTATGCTTTGTGGCATCTTTTGTTTACTTCCTTGCTACTTTTTAATTTTAAAATGGGTGCTCAGCCTCATATAAAAATCAGACCTCTAGTAGAAAAAGGTGACACAAAGGTGGCTAAGATGATTTTCAGAAAACTATAAATACAAGCATGCATGACATCTTATTATATTGTTATTCTCTTTTGCAGACTCTGCTACGTGAAGCTAAAGCTGCTACTGATAGCTATAGAGTATAAGTCTGATCAAAGGGAATGCAGGTAAGTGGATGTGTTCACAGTGGATTATTCAAATTCATAGATGCAAAAACTTAAACACGCAGTTGTGTTTGCTGTCAGTATTTGCTTTCAGTGATAAAGCTTGACTGCAAACACAAGCTGCTTTACAAAATGTCCTTAATTGGTGTCTAAATTGGTTTGTTAACAGGTATCAGAGGAGTTTCTGAAGTCATTTTCTTTAAACACAGCTGAAGCTTTGTTTTAGTGGTTCCTCTAATGCATTGCTCAGTTTAATACCATTTAAAGTGTCACTGCTATCTGCTTTCATCAGCTTAATGTAATAAACAGGCCATCGTGCCAAATGAGTTGCGAAAACAAATCCTGCCAGCGTGTGCCAGTGATTAGTGCAAAACCTTGCGAATTTTGTGATATAACTTTCCACTGTGACATCTTTGGTCTGTAAATCCTCTCAGCACCCTGATCAACCCTGGAAACCACGTGAAAATGCAGGAGGGGACATTGGGCTTCTTCATTGCAAGTGATGCCAAGGAAGTGAAGAGGTACGTCCATGAAAGGGACATGAGGTCAGAGGTTGTTTGATGTTCCCTCGTGCATCAAGTCATACACTAATGTTGAACATATACATTTCAATTGATTTATGAAATGTAAAAAGGGCAAATATGACTTTCCCAATCTCCATAAGCTAGTAGATAATTCTGAGCTGAGGAGGCTTTTGGTTAGGTTAGTGGGTAAGGCCACATGTTGCTAGTGCTTACAATATGATAGGTAGCTTATCATGTTTTACTTTTGACACATTTTGCCTCATGTAATGACAAATGCCTGACATGCTTGCCTGACCTGTTTTTATGCAAATCAGGGATTAAATGTGTTCAATCAACCTGATTCTTCCTGATGAAATGCATCTCTGTGCCTCCAATTTAACAGTTTATTTTCTAAGCATCAAATACCACTAAAGGTTTCTCCTCCAGAGTGATTACATGCAATCTGAAGCTCCTTGTTCCAGACATAGTGAAGATGAAATGTCTGTAAACACTTTAGTTCAGCATGTTGGACATTGACTTAGGTGGGATTGTTGTTTTTCTTCCATAGGGCGCTGTTTTACTGTAAAGCCTGCCACGACGACATTACTGATCCCAAAAGGATTAAGAAATGTGGCTGCAAGAAATGTAAGTGACTACATATATATAAACATTGTATAAGTTTGTTTGTCTTCAGTAACATGTCTTCACAGTTGAGTTGGCATCAATCTAGCAGTGTGGTGGTGTATTTACATGACCTACATATCCATGTGTCCAAACCAATTAGTTCCTGCATTAATTATTCACTTTCTCGTAACTTGTGCATGAAGAAAGGTCATCGGGTTTCTTTCCGCAGCCAAAACAAACAGGTGCACTCCACGTTTCCCTTGTAAACCTACACGTTTGGGCCTCTGTATAACATAAAAATACCTGCCCTCGTGAATGAGTCAGTTCACCCAAGTTACAAAACGCAGCTTTCCACTGGTATTTATTCATGCAGAGAGTTTTCTTTTATGTGGTGAGGTTATTCTTATCAGAGAGCTGCTTTTTCTTTTGTGATTTGGTTGAACTGATTCTTTAAGTATTCTTTATTTTGATTCCTTATTTTTGGGGTGCAGAGAGAATTATTTACAACACATTCTCTTTTCCATGGAACTCCCACGTATTGTAAAATACACAGCAAAGTGAGAACTCAAACTAGTGAACTCCTCTCAAACCACCTATGAATACATCTAAATGTGCATTGTGTCTGTTTTCCTGTGTTGCTCTCTTCTCTTTTGTATAATAGCCGTCTGCGCTGTTCCAGTTCATTGATAACTTTGTGATGTTAACAGGCATTCAGAGAGACTGTTAACACCACAGGTACCTGGATGGATTGTTTGTTTCTAGACTTTAAAAACATCATGTGCCACTTTGTTGCTCCTTCTCTTGGATTTAACCCAGTTTGTCTTGTCTTAACCACTACAGCTAACCCCTAATCTTAACATGTGTGATGTATTCTCTTCCTGCTGCTCGGGAACTTGACACACTTTCCTTAAAAATGCACTTTATAGTGATATATTGTGAGTAATGTGGATTTGTTTCTCTTCCGAAAACACAGCCTGCTACCCCCCCCGATTGAAGCAACTTGTTTGAATGTACTATAAATGTTGCATGTACAATGGTTTATGCTGCCTGGATCCACCCGTTGTTATGTGCACGTCGCTTTCAAATAGAGAAAAAACATTCAACAAAAAGCAGCAAACATACATTTTTTTTAAAAGACCCAGAGAGACTACTGGATGTTATTCTGACAATGCTAAAAAAAACTAAAAAAAAAACATATATGAAAAACCAAGTTATTGCAGCATCCCCAAAGCATTATTAACAGAGCATCAACAATTCAGTCATGCCTGCTTTGAGGTAGTAGTAATACTCCATATCACCACCAGATGTCCCCACAGTCCTTTTACAAACACAACATCCCAGCAGTAAGAGCAAGAAAGCCACCAGGATGAGAAATGAGGAACATCTCTCATTTCAACTGTTTTGATAAAAGGAATAAATCGTTTGACACGCAGCCCAAAAACAGTGTTGATTACTGAGGGGAGTGCACAGTTTCTCCCAGTACATCTGATATCGGGGATGTTTTGGGACAAACGGCAAAGTTCCCGGGGGTATGTGTTAGTTTGAGAATGTCAAATGGATTTATGGTCTCGTACAGTTTCATGTACAAGTGTTGGAGCGTGTCGTTTTTGTTATTTCTGGATGCACTTATATTCCAGAAAGCATTGTGACATTTACTTTGACCTTTCGTCGGAGAGATTTCTGTCTGTTTCAATTCTCAGCTAGAATTAGAAACCAGTACAATTATTTAAGAGTTGTAAACTCACAACACATGCTCCAGTCATGTCCCATAACGTAGTGGTCATGAGCGTTGAGGGGGTTATGTTGAGGTAAGGGCTGAAGTCAACAGGGAACTTTTTGTCTCTTCTGCTGCTGAAACAAAAAATAATGACTTGCCCTTCTCTCCCCCTCAACTCATGTCACACTTATACCCCAAAACCACATGACTTAAGGACATCATCATATGTCCCAGAAATGACCCAAAACCGAATAAACCAATAGTGGAACAAATTCCAAATTTCTAATGTGACATTTGCACGCTGTCGAGACAAAGTTTATCTTGTGCATCCCAGCAGCAGCCGTCCTCTGTGCCCTGTCTTGCCTTTGTCCACTCTTCCTCCAGAACGACCCTCTACATTAACCTGCTCTTCCTCTCCTCTCGTCTGAACCCGTGACTGTAGCCAAGAAGCTCGCCTACAAGAAAATAAAACTGGCATGTTGTTTTGATTGCGGCCGCTCAGAGCAGGACTGCTCTTGCATGCCAGTTAATGTGCCTTGTAACATGGACTCCCCTCGACGCGACATCCCACTCTCTGCTGTCTCTGTTAATGATTGCTCAGCCACTTTACATGCCTGTAAGTTGTCGCCATGACATTGTGCTCTTCAGTGTTTGTAACATGCACTGTGTTAACCGTACAGCGTGTCTTTTAGCTTGTGTGCTGTCTACAGTAGCTCTAGCAGCTGTGTCGTCACTGTCATGGATATAGATGTGGCTTTAGTGTTTTAGTTTTATGATTTTCAGTCCGCTCGTGTTCTTCCCCATGTGTTGCTACTTTTGGAGGTGACTTTTAGCTGTTGTGAAGCATGCCAGTGTACTGTTTTGCTAGTGTTTTGTCAAAATTCAAATTGACCCGTAGTTTATACTAAACTAAACGGAGCTTGAACGTTAATTCTCCCCCGAAAAATAACGTGCTTCCTCCACCAGTGACGAGACATTAAAGCCAAAGCCTTGAAAAATGTACAGCTGTGCATCCCCACCACAAATCCCTTGACGCACACTCAAACTTGGAAAACCCCTGGTGGAGAATTTGCATGCATTTTGTAAAATGATTTGTTTTTGTAGGAAAGCACAAGTGCTATAATAATGTCACTGGAGAGGGTAATTTCATCTTTTTAAGAATAACCCAAATAACATTCACTCAATCCAAATATTTCACTGCTGTGCCCTCCAGAAATGGGTGAGTAGAATAGAGTTTGAGATAGTGCAGGAGGGGATTTCCTGAGGGTAGCAGTACATATTGAGGTTAATGTACTGGATTAAGATCAAAAAACTTGAACAACCACTGAGGGTAAAATCTCTCAAACATATTCAGTACACCAACCAGTGCCTTGCTGATCGCCAACGGAGAAGCTCTGGGTTGTATTCTCTAACTTTGAGAGAGTTTTTAGTCCGATCCCAATTTAATCATGATATTGAAAGAAGTGTACAAAAGATTAGAGTGCAATTGAATAGAACTGGATCGTACTTGATTGAAAGAGGAATAAAACACAGCAGAATAGTGCTGCATTGTATTTCGGTGAATCAACCTAAACTGAATTGAGCTGCATATAAATTCTTAACTCATGTGTGATTCCCCTTTAAAGCCAGAAGGCATGTTAAATTATACTGATGTATCGCAGAAGGCATGAAGAATGTGTCTGTTTGCAGAGTGTTGATACAATTTGCTGGAAAACATCGCAGACTGTCATACAGTCTTAGTGAATGTCTCTTGATCAAAGACCATTCTGTGTGTAGTTGAACGTCTCTGGGCGTTTCCACCCCTCAACATGTCTTCCAGGGTTGTGTGCTGTGAGCATCGCCTGGCTAGCTGAGCTCGAGCCGAGCTCCCGAGTCGCTGTCGACATTGTGCGCGAGATGCACGGAGCGAGGCCTTATGCGGCCTGACATGGAAATTATGTTTGCATTTTCATTTTTGGAGTGCTACCGGTTGTCATGAAACTCAGCCTGACAGTTCCTAACCACCAGGCAGCTGAGTGCCCCCGCCCCTCTCCTCCTCTCTCGTTGTGGGACAGATGCTAGCCTGTTAGTCCTGTGACTCTGCTCGCGCCCTCCCGATTGCAGGCGACAGATGCCAGGACCAGCAAGGTCCCTGTTTGAACATTGCTGTCACTGTCCTGCCTTAAGCTCAATGCATGACCTTTATTGTAAGCAAGGGGTTGAAATAAGGTACTAATGAGCATGTGTGGGACCCATGGCTCCAAAAAAAGTGACTCATAGAAAGTTCCATGCGTTTGTGCAGGTTGTGTTGGGCAGTGCAGAGGAATGGGAAAAAAGCTTAAGTAAAAATAAACACAATACTATAGAGCTAAGAACACGTACAGTATTGTCACATATGTTAAGTCTTATTCCATAAGTATCTCCTGACTAAATGTTAATTTAGTCAATCGACAGAATCTGCAACTATTTTGATATTTGCTTTTTTCCAGCAGAAATACCAAACACTCCCTAGCTTCTCAATTGTGTTTTTCTTTGTTTTGAATGAAAATGAATCAAAACAAGATATTTAAAGGCATCAGCTTGGGCTGTAGGAAATTCTAACAAGCATTTTTCAATAAATTAACATTTAATAGACCAAAACATTATTGATTAATTGAGAAAATAATCATTAGATTTACATTTGTAACCAGATTTAACCTCAACATCTACTGCAGACGTCTTTTGACTTGCAAATCACCAAACCAGTGCTTACTGTACTACCTCCAAACACGACCGTTCATAGTCAGCTGGTGACCGCCTACAAACACTGACAATGTTCTACTGTTTAAGCTCGCTGACCACATTTACTGGAAAATCATATTCCTAATTGATCCGTGTTTAATTTCTCATTGCTCTCTCCATGTTGTCTTCAAGGCACCGCTCTGTCAATGTGCCTTAAAGAGAAATCTGTCCGCCTTAGTTGTCATTTATAATTTGCTTTCATTACGACCTGTTCTTCCCTGTAACCTCTCATCTGTCTCTCCATTTTTCTCAGCTAAAAATAGCTATAATGGATATATCAAATCAAGTAAGTTTTGATTTCCATTCTCTCTCTTTTTTTGTCATTTGTTTCTAACCCTTCCACTTGTACATTTTCATCGATCACCTCTTGAACTGTCTCTAACCGGCTGTATCTTACTGTTTGCTGCTCATCGCTCTGTCCAGTCCATCATCATCCATCATTATATTTTATATGCAAAGCATTAGGAAATTGTCTCTTGAGTGGTTTGTGTTGGGTATCGGTTACAGCTCGGCAGTAGATGGTGCTACTGCTTCACTGTGGGTGGAGATGAATTCATCTGGTGTGGAGCTGAAAATACAACTTAAAAAATACATTTAAAGTCAATGTGTGCACAAATTTATAATGCAGATTCATTTTTAGAGATCAGACATGAAGCAAAAAAAACAGTTAAGAGTTAGTTTGATATCTTCTCAGGTTTCATCCGGCCGTTAAGGAGTGTGAACCATGTGGGTCGTCCACTTCAACAGGATCTGTGATAGGCAGCAAATGTGCCACAATGAGTTGTCGTGGAGAAGTGCTGTGCATGTTTGACATGGGGCAGATGAATAGTGGAAGTCTGGAGCTGAGAGGATAATCTGCTAGACAGCTGACTGTTGAAATAATCATCTCTATTCTCCAGTTTTAGCTCCTAGCCATTTTTTGTAGTGAGGGGAACACTTTTCCTCTGCTTCCTTTTCTCCCCAACTATTTTATCATATTATCTTTACCAGTTATGGTTCTATCATTGCACCAGTGGAGATGTAAACTTCCACATTTCAAATAGCCGAGTGGACACTGAATTCATTCCTCCCTCATCGGGCGTAAACTGCAAACAGCAGCTCGTTGTTGTTAACTCGCATTGTCACCTCCTTGTTCTCATGGCATAACAATCGCCGGAACACCTGAGAGCATATTTATTAATTCATGTTTATTATAAATATCAAAGTAAATGTCAAATCCGACATTTCATTGGTGGCTATACCAAGTGGTTAAGTGGTGTTTAATAAAAATGAGCTTTTTTAATTATTCAGCTATTAGCATTCTTGTGCCAGAAAGAATTACCCCCAAAAACCAGTGATTGTTCTTTAATTATGATAAGAGTCACAAGATGTTTTATTAACATACACACTGCAGGTCTTACTGAAGTCAGTTTGAATTAAATCCTATCTTGTGGTTAATGCGAGGAATCAACGGGTTGCTTCACCCAAATCCCAAAGCAAGAATCTTATGACTGTCCCTGAGATGTATGCCTCCACCAACACAATGGAGGAGAATTGATTTGTGTTTGTGGTGCTCACAAACAATGTTCTCTTGATGATTTACAGAATATACAATTTAAGCAGTTTTCATTGTGACTATTTCTTCAGTAGAAAATAGTTCTAATGAAAACTGTTGACCGTGAGGCCTGAGGATAATTCAAATATATTGTTTTAATGGTTTGTGTACCACAAACAAAATCGTTTTCACCTCAGTTGTATTGGGATGAAATGTCTCAAAACCTCTGTTCATAAAATCAAAGCTATCGACATGGCTAGAAACCACTACAAGTCTTTTTGGATTTAGGTGAAATGACCCTTTAAAATAAAAGCAAAGACTCTAGTAACTTTGCATCGTACAGATCCTGATTGTGACTCTTCATTTAGCAGTAAACAACGGTCCCCTAATCCAGTCGGGAGCTTATCAATACAAGTCAGCTAAACTGAACCACAACTCGGCCAGCGAGGTCTGTAAGAGGCCCCGTAGCGGAGTCGCCGTTGTCTAGGTCCCGCTGGTAAACAACCGCAAGGGAAGCCTGCTGCCCCCCACCGAGCCCTCTGCTCCGAGACAGAGCTTCATGGGCTCCGGGGACCTGGTCCAGGTGGGCCGACTACCGGGGCCGGCAGAAGAGGCCAGCCGTCTCCAGCGGGCACGTAGCCTTCCCGTGAAATACAGATACCACCCGAGTCACTCCAATAAGGCCACGCTCGGTCACAGACACTGTAAGGGCCTCCCCCCCCTCTTCTCTCCCCTCGGCGTGTTTGGCAGGCCTGTATGCCACAACAGCAAAAACCAAAGCATGTGCTTGCCAGGCTGGAGTGGTCGCATGTGTAGCATTCCTTTCTAATGACCCAGTGTGTGCAGCTGTCAGCTGTGAGACATTAAATATTGAACAGGCCAAGCAAGATGTGAAGGGCCAGTGTGTTGGAGCATCTCTCTCCACTGGAAGCCCCCCCCCCCGCAATTCAACATTTTCCATTACAGTGTCACTCTTGCTAGCAGCGCTTGAAATCCTGTGTAGCATGATCTTTGAGACTTTATTCGTTTTGATGAAAGCTCTCCTAGTCTCTTCGTTGTTGACAGCTTGAACTATCGTTAAAAGATACTCCAGCGTATTTTCCCTGACGTGGAACGAGCCGTTCCCCCCACTATTAACGGTTGCTTTTCAAAATGCGATTAGCAAATACACTTTTTCTGCTGCTTGTGTTTATTTTACCGGCGACAGAGTAGAGGCGTCTTCTTCAGCGGTATTGGCTCGTGAGCATATTTGTCTGATTACTTTACTCAAGGGTAAAGGTTGTAATTCGTTCCCTGTGAAGAGCTCAGTGCAGTTTCCTGTAGTGATGAAGACAATGTCCAAGGGGCTTCTCAGCTGTACATAAATCACTCTGGCACGAGGACTAACATAATAATATGAGCCAAGGGCGTCACTCCCAAGATGAAGAAAGACCCGCAATCCAGACTGGATTCAGTATTGGCACTTAAACAGCCTTATTTAAAAATGCTGTTGCATGATGTTTACAGGTTATTACCTTAATTAGATGAGATCTGAATGATTGGTATGGCCAAAAGAGGAGCTATCCAAGTCTAGGTCTGAGGAGATTTGTACTAACAAGGGATTGAAAAAGTATCTTAATACCCTTGAGGTAATTGTGGTACTACATTATCTGGATTACAGCAATTCTCTGGTTTAGTGTGTCGTGAATACAAACTCACAGATTGGACTTCAGCAATTGGCATGATGGTTGATGATGATGGCACTATTGCATGTTTGCATCTTCATACACAATCACGCAAATGATGTGCTAATGTATGCTGTCGTCATCATGCAAACACTGGACTGTTTTCCGTTGCACACAAGTTTAAGTGTCCTGTCCACTCCATCTTGTTCACCCACCCTCTCTCTCCTCTCCGTGTCTCTGTAACCGTATTATCTCTTTGAATTCACTGACCTCAAATTGTGCCGTGTTGTCCTTTTGCTGTCATAGATTTTTTGGATTTTTGTGTGTCTCCTGAAACTTCCCTCCCTCACACCTTTGCCTTTTGTTGCAGTTGAAGAGGACCAACAGTTGGTGTTGTCGCCCAAAAAAAAGCAACGCAATGGAGGCATGAGAAATTCTCCAAACTCCTCGCCCAAGACCACAAGGTAGGACAACAAAGTTTTATTTACAACAGGAAAATGTGCCAAATTTACACAACACCGGTTCATATCACCTTATAAAGTTGTTATTGTGAATATGTTGCTTATGTACATTCACCACACGGAGCGACAGATATATGGAGTCGTGTTTAAGTTTCAACAAACGTCCAATTTTCTTTTTCCTTTTAGCTCAGTTTTTGATCTCCACCAAGTCCTAAGAATAATATCTGGCTCTTTAGCGCTCTGCTATGTTCACCAGCAAGTCGCTGATGTTGTCAGTCTCCCGTTTGTTTTTGTGCAGGTAGCGTACAGTCGGTTTATCAGACTATCTATTGCTGATAACAGCTGCCTGCTATGGCTGGAAACGAGGTTGAGAGTGGTGAGTGTGAACAAAAACAGGGAAGTTGCGGGGCGTAAAACCAAAACAATCAACTGAAAAACGCTAAAATGCTGCGTCTATCTGAGGGAAGCTGCACAGTGAGGCGATAATAAGGGTTCATCATGATGAGCGACCCCTTAATACACAAATGTACTGTAGCTTTAAGGGTCCTTAGCAAAAAAATTGTTTTTGGCTTTTTAATATCATTATATATTATGGAAAACATCGTAAATAAATTGTTTGTGTGCTCGTGTTTTCATGGCGAACATCAGACAGACTTGCAGAAGGGCTCTATGCCACGAGGTTTTTCAAGTGACACCCACAGACTCCAGCTCCTAAACAGACCTGGCACTAATGACAGTCAGAGAGGCTCTAAAGGATGGATAGCCCAAGGCTATTCATCTATTGTTGGATCCCTCTGAGCTCTTTTCAGCACGTAGGGCCACAGATGATATGTATCATCACAATGAAAGGAGAATTCAAATGCTACCTTGCTTTTATCTTGTCCCGTAAAATTAAATTGGCGCTTATTGATTTTGACTGGAGATAACGCGGTTATTCAACAAGAAGCCATTACACTGATGATAATAGTAATAGTCATTGTCATTAAGTGCCATGTTACAAGGAAGCAAGGCAGCAGGGAACTCCTGCAACCTGACGTATACAAAGTGGAATTGTACGGATGAAATTCAATTAAAACTGACGGATGACTTTATGTTCCCATTGCTTATATGGCTGCTATTCATTTGACATTCAGAAACGAAATGCACAAATGTTTGTACTGTTTGATTCTGTGAGGTACAATAGATGGATAGAAATATAGTACAGTAAAAATGACTTGGTATTATGTACAGTGGGTACGGAAAGTATTCAGACCCCTTTAAATTTTTCACTCTTTGTTTCATTGCAGCCATTTGCTAAAATCAAAAAAGTTCATTTTATTTCTCATTAATGTACACTCAGCACCCCATCTTGACAGAAAAAAACAGAAATGTAGAAATTTTTGCAAATTTATTAAAAAAGAAAAACTGAAATATCACATGGTCATAAGTATTCAGACCCTTTGCTCAGTATTGAGTAGAAGCACCCTTTTGAGCTAGTACAGCCATGAGTCTTCTTGGGAATGATGCAACAAGTTTTTCACACCTGGATTTGGGGATCCTCTGCCATTCTTCCTTGCAGATCCTCTCCAGTTACGTCAGGTTGGATGGTGAACGTTGGTGGACAGCCATTTTCAGGTCTCTCCAGAGATGCTCAATTGGGTTTACAGTATATCAAAGAAGTGTTTATGCATATTTTTTCTTTCTACTTTTGATCTATGGCCTCTGTTTTTTCAGGTGGGCGTTTGATTGTTTGATTTAGTTCAAAGTTGTGTCAAAGTTGAATTGCTCCAGGTGATTTCAAGACAACACCAGGCTTTTCTAAGGCTTTAGCCCTCAGCTAAACATAAGCCCACCAAAACCAATCCGTCTACTTGCCATGCTAATTCACCGCACGGTACAGGTGGATGTGTTTCTCCATCCAGCGTGTCTGCTGCCTACACGCTGGAGAGGGATTCACCGCGGTAGCCTTAGGGATACTTCATTGCAACTAGCCGAGGAAAAAACACATCTGGGTGTATTCCATATTGAATGTGTTTTTACAGGACCTGCGGTCTCAAGGCCTTTATAAATAAGTAATGACCAACAGATTGGCTGTGGGTTTTGAAGAGCAAGGCTTTGTCAGTTTGCATGATGAGGAGGATTTCAAAGTCTTTGCCTTTGCCCTCGCTACTTGTGCAGCGTTTCCAGTCAGCTAGTGCAGTGATGCTGAAATAGAAAATTTACATAATATGCAGGTTTAGCTTCTACTTTGTGTCTCTCTCAGCTGTCATTACGCTCCTCTAGCAGAGACACCTGGCTTTATGTTTAGCGGCCGTGACGTGTGAAGTCTTGTCAAACGTGTCATCTTACCACTAAAGTAGTGAATTATGCCGCTGATCATTTTTGAATGTTTAGAAGTGCGCTTACAGAAAAAGACGCTCGTAGACGCCTCGGCTCTGTGTACTGAAAAGAAGTGCACAAAAGGAGAGAGCGATCAGCTGTGGAAGCAGAACCGTCTCCCTGTTTCCAGATGTATCGGCAAACTAACACGTCCTGTCTGGAACTCAGCAATGACGTCCTCGCTGAAATTAACACCATTTCCACAGGCTCCTCGATGGGTCATAAGACGCATCTAATTGTGGGATGTCACAACGCGTCGGGTCACATCGACCCGTGCCGTGACGTACACGTCATGTCTGCTACAGGACTGCTGAGGCAATTGGCAGTGCAGGATAGTGACAGGCCGTCATGGCTGACAGTGAGCGATAGCTATCCTGGCAGAGCTCTGCCTCACCAGTCATCTTCCACAAGGGCAAACTGAAGTGACAGTGGCTCCACTGAGTGAGTGGTGAAACATTCGACTTCTGATGCAATATTTAGCGGGGTGTAAAACCACTAAATGCTTTCACTCTTATTAGAATTTGCATTTCAGACTCAAGCAGAAGCCGATGATTTACGAGTGATGGAAGATGATTGTCTTGGATAAATTAGAGCTGAATTTATTGATTTTGGTGATGTGCTGGAGATTTACTGACAGCATCATTTATCAAGCAGCTTTCTTCAGTTTGATATCATTTTGAATTGAATATGTTTGTGTTTTGGACAGCAATTTGAAGACACCATCTGGAGCTCTGATGCATTTTAATGGATTATTATTTACAACTTTCTGAGATTTTATAGACTGTTAAACATAAGAAACTGATTAGTTGTAAAAAAAAAAGAAAAAGTTTAATCTGCTCCAGCATTTACACAGAATTTGATATTCACACATTTTGTCCTTTCAAATTAGAATTGCTTCAACAGAAGTGAGTCTGAGAGGTTGAAAGTGGTAGAAAAGACATTTTCTTCTCCAGCTACTTCCATTCTTGAAAGGACATCCAGGTCTTGCCTCAGGGTATAGAAGCCCAAGGCAGGCTTTTTTTTTGGCTTCAGTCTGTTGCAGCCTGAGGGATGATAGTTGCAGCTGACACTTTGATGCATACTTAACATGTTACTTAAAGTAGCATTCTTCTAAAGTACTCGCATGGATTAAATAGATGGGGAGAAGGCTCTTTTTTATATTTAAAAGGCTTTGGACAGAGACAGAAGGCTTCTGTCTGAGTCTCAGAAGATAACATCTTCAACTCTGATCTGAATCTGACAAAGTCAATTTAGTGCAAAGGGAGTTGTGTTGGGCTGCAAACGGCCTCCGTGGTTAGCGTTGTTAGCTGCTACGGCAGCTGATGGTGTTCAACCACTTCGGCTGGTTAGCGCTTTTCTTTATCACGTTTCTATGTTCTCCTTCAGTCAAATCTCAAAAGAAAGTACTGGAGTAAATATATTCTATATATTTGTATTTATATATTCTATTTGTCTGAGGGTTGGAGGATGGAAGGCTTGAGAGGGAAGTGAGGTAAACATGGAAGTTTCTTATATTTTAATATCTCCAGGAATTCTGTCAAAAGCTCACATCACTCTGAACAAGCGTGGTACTCGGGTACTCATGTTAGGAGACCACTTTAGTGGTCAGTGTTGGGTAGGATGAAGCTCACCACTGCGCTCAGTGAACCTCGTTTATGTGGTTCTGATGCTCTGTTTAAACATTAATGCCCTTCACTTCCAACAGCAAATATGATTGGGCAAATTCCTGAAATATTTAAAGTCTGGTCTGTTAAAGCTTTTACCACGCAGCAGAGTACGTCAAAAGCTGTATGCAGTAAGGGGGCGTAATTGCATCTCCGTGCTCATGCCAGTCAACGCAGTGTGTTGCTGCCATCTCCTTCCGCCTGGCTGCCGCCGCTGATGTCACTCTGCTTGATGACATGGCAGTTTTGTTGGCATTTCTGCAGATGGCCACTGACAGGAATGAGCAATGAAGGGAATACAAGGAAGAAAGCTACTTTTTGGATTTGTTTGAAGATTCCTAAATATTCTGGTGCATTGGTGAATGTTTTTGAAAATGAAATGTTCATTTTATTTTTTACTACAACCAAAATGTAATTGTTCTATCTCAATTTAGTGTATTTAATTTTTGCACTTTTACTCGTTTTATGTTGTCCAACTCAATTTTTTTCCCTTAGTATTATTATTCATGTCTGCCTGTGAATTATATTCCTCGTTTACTTTAGTTTCATTAGTTCATTTCCATTAACTAGTAAATTGAATCCACATGTACAGTGTCTGACAGGATCCCTTCCTTCTCTCCCTCCCATCTCTTTGTTTGATTAGACATGACCCGCTCCTCATCCCGGGGAACGAGCAGATTGAGAGCATGGACGAGAACGTAAAGAAATACGACTCCACGGGGATGTTTCACTGGTGCCCGTCCAAAGACATCGAGAAGGTCATCTTGGTGGGTTCTGCTCTTTTACTCGACACACGTCATTTGTCCCTGACACTCTTCTACCCGGTGACAGATGTGTCATGTCACAAAGCACCATCAGAGGTTGACAGGGCACTTAAACACTCTGTAATGAGGTGTTTGACATGTCATTTGCTATATGGAGTCCCTGTACATAGAACATTTCTTGTACTAATACATACGCCATTTTTCAAATTACTTTCATAGTCAATCGCAGTCTTGAACTGCATGATATATTTTACTGGGTGAGTAGGCAACTGAAGGAAGAAAAGAGACTAACATCTGCAAGAAAAGCCAGTTTATGTCACATTTTCATAAACATATATTTTTTTTCATCCGTTCTTTCTTTCCCGCTCAGACCCGGAGCGAGGCAGCCATGACGGTTCTGAGCGGTCACGTGGTCGTGTGCATATTTGGAGACGTCAAATCTGCGTTGATCGGTCTCCGGAACTTTGTCATGCCTCTGAGAGCGAGCAACTTCCACTACCATGAGCTGAAGCACATCGTGTTTGTCGGCTCACTTGAGTATCTGAAACGGGAGTGGGAGACGCTTCACAATTTTCCAAAGGTCTCAATTTTACCTGTGAGTACAACAGCACCACCCATTTCAAATATTATGGAGATATTGGAAACGACTCTGCCAATGAATTAATCCAGGCAGCGATTAAGTTTCCTCCAGAACATATTTGATTTAGTAGTGTGTAAAAGTATTTAGCAGGAGACAGGGTTGAGAAAAGGCTCAAGGATGAAAACTAAAATTTAAAAGTTGCTACATTTTCATTTACCTCTTGGTGTCATAGGTGAGATTACAAATTCTCTCCTTCGCTTCCTCTGAAAGGGCACACCGTTGAGTCGGGCAGATCTGAGGGCTGTCAACATCAACCTCTGCGACATGTGTGTCATTCTGTCAGCCAATCAGAACAATATTGACGATGCATCACTGCAGGACAAAGAATGCATCTTGGCGTCACTCAACATCAAATCCATGCTGTTTGACGACAGCATCGGGGTCTTGCAGGCTAATTCCCAAGGTAAGGAGCGCCCTATCATAGTTCACTGCACCGCCTGGAAGGGACAGGGCCCTGGCACACAGAATATCCCTCACTGGGTGTGCTGCCTGGCTGACTTGGTGTCACTGCGTTTGACAGTAAACCCTACTGACTATTCCTCAGGTTACTGTAACAACTGGTTTCTTTACTAACCTAATTGGTGACAACAAGCACATTGTTGGCACACCAACCTCACCTGGCTTACTCAAAAAGACAAATGTGTATAATTTATGAATAGTGTGCGTTAGCTTTTAAAACGGCAACGGAAGCACTCCGTTAGCTTGAGATTGCCCTCAATAATGGTCATTCTCTGGCATTGAGAGAAATGCTTTTAGAAACCTTTTGACCTGAGGGGGGGGGGGAGCCAATTTCATTATTTCTCTAATACATGTATGACCTTACATTTGCCTTAGTCAGCAGTAAGTGATGGATGTCAAAACACGGCCTATGTATAATACATACAGCATCACTGATTTAATGTGCTTACTTGTCAGTCTGAGGAAAGCAAGAAATGTCAAGTCAATTTGAATTCAATCTTGTCACTTATTTTCTATTTCATGGCTCCGTACTGTACATGTTTTTGTGTGCGCGTGTAAGAGGTTTCCGTCTCCACGCACACGCAGTCTAAAGGAAACAAAATGAGCAGTATGTGACATCTATTATATATAGACTTCTATTGGACCTCGTCAAGAATACGACACTCAGCAACTTTCTGCTTTAGCGGTGGCCGGGATTGGATGAAATAGCCGCGGCGATTATTTCTGCTGATATGCCCGTTTGTAGCCTCTGATGAAGTATTGAATATTGCATTAACGTATGTGCTTTATGTCACGTGCATGTCCATTTAGGCTTCACACCACCAGGAATGGATAAATCATCTCCTGAAAACAGCCCAGTCCATGGATTAGTGAGGCAGACTTCTGTCACAACTGGAGCAAATATTCCCATCATAACGGAACTAGGTATGCTTTCTGTGTCAGCTGATTGATATAGCTCTACTGTTGCATGCTTTCTTTATCAGTTATGTAGTTATAAACAGATCTGAAAACACAATGTCTTCAATTAGAGGCCGTCAACACTTGATAAACTTAAAGTGGAGGTTTTTTTTGTCCCTTGTTGACATGCTCCAGTAACTGTTTTTCCTCAACACTTGTCTAACACCATTAGCAAAGCCAGGCAAAAAACTGCCTGTGATTTCATTCAGTCAGGATAAAAGCAGTGGGACCAGCATACAAATCATAACTGAGCTGGGTAAGAAGTGCCTCTGTCCTGTTCTGCAGTGTTGTAACTGCTGCTGCCTCCATATCAGCTTCCTTTTGATTTCTCTCGCTGCACAAGAGGCTCAGTCCATTCCCATGGCATCACTTTGAGCACATTTTACCCTTGGTTCTGGTTGAAATTGCCTGTCTTGTTTTGGCCCCTTATCTCAAAGCAACATTTTTCCCTTTTATTTTTCTAAGAGTTACAAGGCCTTTGATCCCTCAGAGGTCCTTGTGGCTGTTTTCATAGCATCTTCTGTCGGATCACATTCTCTGGCCCGTGCCCTTCTTTCATCTCAATATGACTGACATTTATTTCTGTCCTCACAGAAGTATTTTACATCATTACTCTTTTCCAGCTACTGCATGTGTTTTTGTGCTCAAAGACATCTTCAAAGAAGGTTCTGGGGCAATGAGATACTTTCATTTGTTTAGACATGCAAGTACAAGCAATTTGGACGTTCTGTCTTGGATTTACAAGACAAACAATGGCATATTGGTGTTTCTAATACTGACTTTTGAATCAACGCCTGAAGCTTTGACAATATGCATGGTGTCATGTGTGTGTGTGCATGGCCTAGATATGGAATGTAAGGAATGAGGCAAGTTGGCCAAGAAGCCCAACACAAATTTCAGACACGGTTTCATTTCAGTCGCTTTAAGAGAAACTACAATTGTGTCCAAATTGGGATTTAAAGAAATGTTTTCGAACCAGTCACAGATTTCTAATAGTCCATATCTGCAGCTTCTGACTGTACATCTGTGTCCTCCTCACGGGAATGTATTCACGTTCTATTCAAGTATTTGCTTGATGAACGCTTAAGCACACAGTCCATGCTTTTTCAAATCACAAATAATTCCATAAGATCTGGTTTCTAATGCAGAAAATGAACATGAATAATTCAAAATAAGTAATGAAATTGACATGTTTTTCTCCATAGTAAATGACTCCAATGTTCAGTTCCTGGACCAGGATGATGATGACGACCCTGACACAGAGTTATACCTCACTCAGCCTTTCGCCTGTGGAACAGCATTTGCCGTCAGTGTGCTGGATTCCTTAATGAGTGCTGTAAGTCAGAATTCATTTAGTTCACAGAATATATAAGCTGGTGATAAAATAACAGTGAAATATGCAAAGAAATCTTGTGTTTTGATAGCAGTCCCCTAAAAAAAAAATGTAGGACCTCTATGTTCGCGTTACAACAATAGCTGACAAGACTGGAACTTGTACTAGATATGAAGGCTTCACTTGTCTGCCTTTCAGTTTGAGTGAGGTTAGAACAAAGCTGCCTTCAAGTGCGCTCCAGTGAAGACAAAGGTAATGCTACCTAATGGACAGCCCTCATCCATCATCTTAGTCAATAGTGCTGTCAGCAGCCAAGGGAGATGTCACTGTGCTGTACAAGCAAAAGGAGACGAGGGACCGTGGTGCAGACATTTGCCCTCGTTGAAATCAACGAAGCAGTTACTGGTTGCAATTTAAAAAAAAGAAGATAGCAACTTCACTGAGGAAAGTGGATGTTCAGGCTTAATAGCATGTAAAACTGACTTCTCCACATAATGTCTGCTATTTAGCTTTAGAAAATGCCTGGACGGTAATAATGCGTACCGGGACTTCCTGTGTCTCTCTGATGGGAATGAGAGTAACCTGCAGTAATTGGATTCTCCTGTGTTTTCACTCAGTGTGCAGAGCAATGTCACACAACAGGGCAGCGCTAGATAGCACCATTCGGCCGGGCTGGCACTTTGACAAGGTTCAGTTGTGACTTTGGTGGCGTTCGCTGAAGGATTTACCCCCTCTCTACCTTCATTCCTTTAGACATACTTCAATGATAATATCCTCACCTTGATCCGGACGTTGGTAACAGGCGGGGCGACACCGGAGCTGGAGGGCCTGCTGGCAGAGGAGAATGCGTTACGCGGCGGCTACAGCACGCCACAGACACTGGCGAACAGGGACAGGTGTCGTGTGGCACAGCTGGCTTTGTACGACGGGCCCTTCGCCGACCTCGGGGTAAGTGACTAGTCTTTGTCACCCAAGGGCTGAGCACATCTTTGTCTGCTTGTTGTGGGAGCTGACTTTAGTGAAAGGATTTAGACTTACAGGGACGGTTGTGATTCAGAGCTGAGATAAGTAACAGGGATTGTACGTCCAAAAATAGGCGAGTTCTGTGACAATGACACTCTGTCCTCAAATAACTTTATTGGCACTTGGAGAAAGATATGCCAGCAAAATACTGTTATGTGTTGAGCTGATTCTTCCTCAACAACACTTCAGCTCTATAGTCCATACACAAGCATCAGGCCAAATTAAGTCCATATAAACAATTATGATATATTTGTATGTAATATTTTTTTACATCTATTTTTAGTGTTGCTTTTGTACTACACAGTTTTTGTCACTGTCTTGCAGGATGGCGGTTGTTATGGGGACCTGTTCTGTAAAGCCCTGAAAACATACAACATGTTGTGCTTTGGCATCTATCGGTTACGAGACGCACATCTAAACTCCCAAGGCCAATGTACCAAACGGTGAGTACGGACCTAATGTGTCTTACCATTTAAAAGCTCAAAACTGCCACAAAAAGACTTTGTTTCAACCTATACTAAGTTTAGAACTGGCCTTCCACCTGACATCTTTCCTCTATAGGTATGTCATAACCAATCCACCGTATGCGTTCGAGCTGGTGCCCTCAGACCTGATATTCTGCCTGATGCAGTTTGACCACAACGCTGGCCAGTCTCGAACCAGTCTCTCCCACTCTTCCCATTCGTCCCATTCCTCCAGCAAAAAGAGCTCCTCCGTTCACTCCATCCCAACCACCAACCGCACCAACCGCGCAAGAAGCAGGGACTCAAAACAAAAGTACGTGCCCCTCTAAAGCTCTCTGTCTTATGTCCGTGAACAGTAACTGTCCCGTGTGTCCTTTTGCAAACAGACTGCAACACGTCGATGTGTGTGCGTTTGTTTGAATGTGTATACGTTAGTTGTATGTTTTAGTTTGCCCCTTGAGCAGGGCCATTCCATGGCATAGGGCAAAGTAGGTAACCACAAAGGGCTGCTGGCTTTCCCTGGAGTTTCTTTCCATCATGGGTTGTTACTGTGGTTCTAAATCTTCCCCATAATTGTACATTTCTTATGCCAAGAACTACAGTAAACGTGAACTGTGAGTAATTCTGTCTTGAGTATCGGGGGGGGGGGAAGCTATGATGTTGTGATGCAACACTTTTTTTTAAATCTTAGAAACTCCCTCTGCAGTTAAAGATGTCTGAATCAACAGATACCATTTTGTTTCTAATAAACTCTGAGACACGTACGAATAAAGCTTCCTAGTGATTGTTACTACATCAAGATAGTTTTGACCCAATTGTTATTGAATATAGTTTAAAGGATAATTAGAATTATTCAGGCTCACCTAGCTCATTTTTTACAATATAAAATGTCAGCGGTGCTCTTACCTGCACACACAAGATTAAAACTCTTCCAGTTTGAGATGATGCAATCTTGGTTACAATGTCAAGGGGCGGGCCCTAAAAGCAAATGAAAGTATTTTTGATATTTGTGATATTGTCCAATACACAATGCAACAGAGTATGCCCCCCCCCGCTGAGTAGGAATTGGCAAACATTTCCAGACCTTTAGTTTTACATATACTGTGCTTACTTGTGTTAATTACTTACCTCTGTGATAAAGGGCACTGGGTTTCTCCATCTTATAACATTTCAAGTTTTGCTGAGTTGAAACTTTTGTTTGATTAGTAGCTGATTTTTCTTGTACTTGAACTGCACTTTAAATTATGTCTTAAAAGTTCATGGTATGTCACGTGTATGAAATACTGAACCTCGTGTCCTAGTAATGCCTTTGATTTCCATTAACATTTAAATGCTATACTTAAATATTATTTTCCACCATGAAGTATCAATTATGTCAATATGAAAGTAGGGAATGTCAAAGTTAATAATAAAGTTACACTACTATTATAATTATGTCTTCAAACGTGAATGTCGCATTACATTGAATTCAACAACATGGTTATTCTTACTTGGTGGATTACCAATAATTTTTACATTCTGCTACACCTGCCCGTGTTTTCTGATGGTCATTGTTCAAAGCAGCGAACAGAACCGTATCAAAAGCAAAATGTATTGCCCTGAAGTCACCGTACCAGACAAACTCCACTCCTCGACTGCGCCTATAGATTCTTTTCCATGAAAACAAAAAACTAAATCTATAGCATGCCATGTCCTTGGCTGAGCCCGGTGCAGAACACGCTTTACTTACTGTAAAAAATACAGACGCAGCTCTTGCTCCAGTTATGGACCGAATGCCTCATAACAAGAGCCCCAAACCTCATGAGTACATCCACAAGACACCAAGAGAGACGGTGGTTTCCCTGCGGGTGAAATGATGAGGTAGACATGACACCTTCAGGAAAACCATCCATCCATCCATCCATCCATCCATCCATCCAGATAGATAGATAGATAGATAGATTTAATTATGATTGAAATATCACAGCAAAGATGGTTTACAGCATAGTTTCCCAAAGTATGAAACATTGTGTCCGAAATGCATGCATTATATTTTACTCATCTGTGGTCCAAAAAATGTCGTCATTCAAAAATTCACAATATAGTTTTTTATAAAAAAGTAAAAGTATAGCTAAATGGTTTAGTATGCAATTAAGAATGTCAAAAGTAATTTCATAATACAGTATAATGTCATAGTATAATATGCAATAAAAACATAGTATGTCATAAAAGATTTCATGAAAAAGTAATAGTATTTTATGTCAAAAAAGTCACAGTATAGCATGCCCCAAAAAATTATCATTATTCCTTTAAAAAGTAATAACAAAATTTCTGTCACTGATACATTTAGAGGGTGTCGCTGAATTGGCAGAGGTATGCATTCTGTTCTTTCTATGGGAAAACATTCATTCAAAAATGAGCACGTTACATTTTCACAGCTGCTGAATGAACACGACAAGCTTTCCGTGGTTAGTAATCTGTTCCCATTTGAAATAAAAAAATAAATTTCAGCTGCACCAGTTGGCATTGCGCATTTTACAGAAATTCATTTCTACATGAAGTTCTTTTGTTTTGTGCTAATCAAAGTACATCAGTGCAGTACTTTGTTCGCTGCATGTTGCTCATTGGGTTTCTTGAATCATGGACAAAATCATGCTTCTAATTGCTTTGGCAACAGGCATGGATACAATATGGCTGCTCGACGGATGACACAGTGGCTAAATGCATAGTGATGGCACTTGAGTTGTTGGTCGCCCCTTACTGATTAACCTACTCCATCTGCTGTTTGTATACCTCTGATCATTATGCTGTGCCGTATCTGTTATTAATAGTCATATTAGTATTTCTCATTTTGCTTACATTTAGTGTACTACTTTCTTTTTCCAAAGTGCAACAAGGATGAATAGAGTGGGCCAAGGTATGGAAGTGAATGATTATGCATGATGTTAAATGCATTTAATATGTTCATGTCCTTGCTGACATTTTGCCCTCTGAATGAAAGCCAAGTAGTTAAGTCTTTCCAAATGACTGCATCAGGACTGCATGGTTATGACCTGTGCAGTACATCAATGTAGGTTCGATGCTACTTTACTTTATTCTGTATCAAGTGATATTTCATGTTTTATCATTGGCAACATGTATATGCAGCACCACCACCTTAAGTCGTGCTGATGAAAATGCATGACCATGAGCATTGCCAAGTGGATGAATCACCAGCCATATATTATGCCAGACTATAAAGTTGCATCAATCCAAAAGCCTGAAGCCCCTCAAAACGATAAAGCCCCTGGGAGTACGAATTGTGAAGTTAAACGTATTAACTTCTAATTAGTATGAAAAACAGATTTTGTTTAACTGGTGACCTGCATTTCTGCTGACCCAACAAAGCAGCATGTTTCCATAGCAGTATGGTCTATATAATGAACTTTAACCACAAGATGAGTGACGGAGGATGAAAACTTGGACATTGGGACAATGTTTTTACTGTGTCAATTACAACCAGTATTACAATGTTCCGCTTATGTTGTGTGTGTGCACTTGAAAACAAACACTGAAATTGTATTTGATGTCCTTTTTTCTCAATATGATTTGTCTCTTTCTCAGAAAAGAAGTTTACAGATGAGCCAGAGAATACCCACCTGAGGACCATACAGATCAAGCCTGTGAATACGCTCGCCATCAACCAAGTCAGTCAGCTTAAATCCACAAGCAGTTTGATTCCACCCATCAGAGAAGTAGAAGACGAGTGCTGAGCTCCGGACGCTCGGACCTCCACAGAAGACTCATCGCGTAGGTCTCAGACTGGGGATCATCTGCAAACACTAACCATCGATTGACATTAGATGAGGCGAACATATACTGTTTTCCTCATTCACCTTCTGCAGCAAGCAGATTTAGAATCATACATGAGATATATAGATGAAGACAATCATAGTCAAATATCGCTACCCCTCAACTTTTAGTTTGCACTGCTAATATTGTGGTGGCGGGACTCCATGACTTTTCTGTTTCCATTTCGGGGAATGAGGGTCACTTGAAGGAGAACAGCAATGTAAAAAAAAAAATGACTACTGCAACAAAAAGAGGTGATTATATAATAACTGGATCAAGTTTTGCAATTGTAAAAGTTGCCTTTTAAGCTGTTGATGAACAACTACTGCATTGACTTTACCCAGTGTTGCAGAGTTATTCTGTACAGTATGTTAAAATGTGTATTTTACATCCAGCTGCAATCCCACCACAATGGCATCGTTAGTGACTGAGGCCCAATCCCAAAGTCCCGACTCACAAACTTTGAGACGCGTTCTCGCAAAGTCTGTAAGGGCTGCCCCACTGTCAAATCGGTGAGCACTTGAGGGCTCGCTTACTGAAATTTTAGCCCTTTATGCACATTTTGCCTGAGGGAATTACCCACAATCCATAGCGTTGTTACGTTAAACACTGGTTACCAGGAGAAGCCTGGAGGCTTAAAAAGATAAGGTAAACAAAGAGGACGGCACATGGGTGTTCAGCCTGGCATATTACATTTACACAGAAATATTAACATTAAAAATGTAAGATTGTACATAAACATTTGAAATCAGATGAATTCAAGCATATGCTATATTACACACCGAGTTTACTTATCAAACATTTATTTAAATTTTGCTTATTGAAGCTGTTTTGACAAAGGAGTAAATAGATTATCTGCCAATTACCTCAACTTATAAGTCAAGAGCCTGGAAGATGTTCAAATCAGGCAGTAAAAAAAACCACAACATAAAAACCCACAATTGAAGATAACATGTTTCGGTGTCATCGAGGTTATGTGATATGTCAGCTCAAAGTGCCATTCGTATTTACACCAAGTTGCAGCCTCTTACACGTTGGGATTGGGCCTGACTCAGTGAATCCTTTGCCATTTGGAGCTAATTCACAACATTTGTGACAGTTAAGACGGCCAGCGTCCATGTGTAAATGGCATTTGGCTCCAGCCTTATCTCTATCCATTTATATTTGTCTTATCTTTGCCTTTTTGAGTCGTTTGTTATAACTGTTTTCATTTTTGCTGTTTGGTTGCAATGTCCAAAACCCCAGAAATTATATTCAGTAAAGCTTTTAAGTATCTGCAAAGTTTCTCCAGGGTTAAAACGTTAGCAATATTCTTTATTCTTTTCTTGACAATAGCCAAATATGATAGGTGTTTTGTTGTTGACAAAAGAATATAACCAAAAATCTCACGGTTTATGATACAGTGACAGAGATATTCATTTACTTAAGACACCATAGAGAGCAAAGCTATACTATGGTTCAGCATGGCATCATGTGTTAAATGCGAAAGCCTCATATCGCATGAAGTGGGCATCCAAGTCCTCCTTTGGCTGTATGCACTGCCTGACACAGGATTGTCTTGGAGGCCATTAGGCGCTCGTTTGTACTCCATGACCAATCTTAATGCCATAATCACACATGTTCATGCTTTTTGTAGATACATGAAAACAGCTCTGTCATAAAAAGTTATTTGGGCTATTTATATGTTCTAAAAGATTCTATTCTATCGGTAAACCATTACGTATCGGATATATTCATAAAACAAACAGATCATTTGTTTCATTTTGTACATGCACGAGTCAAGAATGCAGAGCTCAGAGTGGTCTTATTTGAATTATAAAACGTAGTTGTATTGGCACTGTTTTCACTTTACTTCAGAATCAATGAAAGTAAGCTTTGTCCACATGAGGAGCAACACAGTCTAGGACTCATGTTGGATGTGAATAAAAAGAGGTGAGATTTTTTTTGTGGCACAGAGCATCCAAGCCGCCCAACCCTCAGTGCCAGTAATGTGCCAGGCAGTGCTAAAGTCAACGGAGGACTCCAGAAGACCCACTACTGCGAAAAGAGGCTTCTAGTTCAGCTGAATTTAAGCAAAATGTATTTTTGCTGTGAGACTGAGACATGTACCTGCCTCTCTTAATAAGAGGCTGTAATTCCCTGGAGATAACTAGAACTGGAGTAAATAATTTAAAGTCTTAAAACTATTTTTTAAATTATCCATTGTCAATAGCAGCGCGTAATAGCAAATAATTGTGTGTACTCTTCAAATCAATCTGTAAAGCTTAATGTAAAATATTTTTTTCTAGTATGTTCTTGATTAACAGTACATGTGGGGTTGAGAGGCATTCAGCATTGCAGTCTAGTTTGTACTATTTTGTGAATTTCTTTTTAGCACATTGACTTGTAGATGCAATGACTGTGCTAAGCTGATATTTCTGACTATGTCATAATACCCAATAATCAATACAGTTTATTGTCTTGTACATACAATTGTACATGATTTCATTTTGTATTTTCACAAATTAAAAGCTGATGTATTGTGTTCTACATTGTGTCGTGTAATTTGTTTTCTCAGATGTTTCTAGAGGTTTATAAAGTCAAAGTATAGTATAGTATGTCGAAAACTCAGTATAATCACAGAATCGACATACTAATACTACTATGATTTTTTCAAAAAATAATTTCGACATTCTAAACTGATTTTTTTCAACAAACGCTATACTATGACGTTTTTTCGACATGCTGTACTATGACTTTCACGAGTTTTTTCGACATGCTATAGTAGTATGTCATAGTATGTTGAGTAAAATATAGCTTATTATGCCTAAAAAGTCATAGTATCGTATGTTGAAAGAAGCAATAGTATAGTATTTTGGAAAGGGTAAACAAATTTCACATTGTAGTTTTTTAAAAAAATAATTCATAAAACATAACTTATAATACATATAACAAAAGGCATAAGAAAGCAATAGCATAGTATGTGGAAAAACGTAATAGTATGGTATATTAGAAAAGTCATAGCCTGTGTCTAAAAAAGTTTTAAATAGTCATAGTATAGAAAGTTGAATAAAGTCATGAAAAAGTCAGTACGACGAGAAAAGACATAGAATGTCCAAAAAGTCACAGTATAGTATTTTGAAGAAAGTCATAAAAAAGCCGTAGTTTTACATATCAAAAAAGTAATTGTATATAGAATATGAGAAAAGTCTTGGTATAGCAATTGAGAAAAACAATCGCACCGATTCCTGGATATTGGAACACTTCACTCGACATTAAGACTTTACATTGAACACAAATTGCTCACAAGCTGTTATTCTTTGATTGTTCATTCTAAACGTAAATGAACACCTTACTTTTTCACAGCCGTGGAATAAACTCTCCAAGCTTTTCATTGTAGTCCGTTTCCATTTAAAATCATGTTTAGCCACACAATTTTATTTGAATTTGCACATTTTATAGAAATACACTAATTTCTACAGGAAGTTGCTTGTTATGTGCTGATCAAAGCTGCTCATTTGGGTTTCTGAATTACTTCATCCTTCTAATTAGCAACAAGCATGGATACAATATGGCTGCTTGACACGTGCTACAGCGGCTAATTGCATTGTGATGGCAATAAAAGATTTTCTGGCATGATACATGGTCTGTTTTCCTTTATTTTTTGTTGAGTTATTGTTCAACCTACTTCACATTATTGTATGACAGCATCTGCTGTTTGTATACCTCCGATCAATACGCTGTGCAGTTTCTGTTATTAATGGTCATTTTTTTCTCATTTTGCTAACGTTTCGTGTACTGCCCAACAAGGATGAATAGAGTAGGCCATGGCATGGAAGTGAATGATTATGCATTTTGTTAAATGCATTTAATATTGTCATGTCCTTGCTGACATTTTGCCCTCTGAATGAAAGCCAAGAAATTAAGTCTTTCCAAATGACTGCATCAGGACTGCATGGTTATGACCTGTGCAGTACATCTCGCTGTAGGTTTGACTGCATAATGCTTTATTGCAAACTGAATGGTTTGATGCTACTTCACTTTATTCTGTAGCAAGTGATATTTCATGTTTTATCATTGGCAGCATGTATTTATAATGGCATGTGTGTTAATGTACTGGACATTGGCATAATATATCGCTGGTGAGTCATCCATTTGGCAGACTATCCATTTCCTTCTATAAGAAGTGGCTTGTATATAAAATTGTACATGATGTCATTTTGTATTTTCATAAATTAATAGATGATGTATTGTGTTTTACATTCTTTTATATAATTTAGTATTGGAACTTGCATTGCTAATGTTTTGACGTGAGACTCGGCACAAAGTATTACTAGGCCACATGTTACACATGTATCCATCACAGAGGGAGTACATACATAAAGCCCTCTCCTTTGATGATAACACACTTTCTAATTGCCAGACTGATCACGTGACACAGCACACCCCGGTGCACCCTCTGGATAATGGCTGATAAAAACACTCCACATCCTCACCTTGTACATGAAGAGGGCCCATCATGTTGCCTGTTAACGATTTTACACACCATGGCACTGTGGGAGACTGCCAGCATGCCAATAATATTTACTGTCTAACACTTCGCTGAGAGGCTGCCGATGTCCCTGATCCTCCTGCCAGCGGCAGTGTCCCCTTCTAAGTAAACACACACATGTAGCCATCACCCCCGATTACTGTACAACTGTATTGATTATATATATATATATATATATATATATATATATATATATATATATATACACATACATACACACGTATTAATCTCAATGATTATAATAAAGTATCAACCAAGATCCCATAAAAGGAACTGAAAGAGAAGCCGAGATTGTCGTCAAACTAATCCAATTTAGAAAAAAATTAAATTGTGATTAAATAAAAAACAAACATATCCATATATCTGTGTTTTAGAGGAAATTATCTCATTAATAGGATTAAAAAGTGGTATGATAATCTTCAGTATAAACGCATGACATAAGCCTCAACCTTAAACACTGCACGAGAATGCTCCACGATTCCCTTTAATAGGGAATCCCCAAGAGTTAAAGGAAAAGAGTAAAATGCATACAGTTAACCCAACTGTACATTAAGAAACCTCTGTTTTAACTACAGATACTACATGTAGACACCAGTCACACTGGGCTGTGCATGTATAGTACACACACACACACACCCTTCTCAACACAACTCTTGTCCAGCTGCACAGGCTTGGCTGGTGATAATAGTTTCCATGACAATGCAGCACTCCGAGTGCATCAATGCCAGCCTGGATAAACAGTGATCCTTTACCAAAACAAGGGGGTCATTACGACAGCTTGTCAAATCAATGTTGAGAGTGTCCTGGCTGATTAAGGCGTCCCCTCTCAGTCCTGACACAGTGTCAATACTAGCTGGCCTGTGGCGGCACACTCCCATGATTGGACCGAAATGCCTATCAGTCAGGCAGCTGAGCTGGACTAATGATTCCCTGTGCTGCCTATTAGAGTGACATGACAATTTAATCCTGTGGGCCAGGCAAGGAAAAAGTGACCTTGGTGCTTTATATTGAGGCTGAGGTAAATTGACAAGAGCAGATAAATCTTTACCTTGGGCTATTAACAGAATTAAAGAACAACAACAAAGGCAGGCGATCCTCTCTCTCTCTTTTGTTTTGTTTGTCTCTGCCTTTACAAACACCGTGCCACAGAGAAAACACCTTTACCTTTACCAAAAAAAAAAGCAACCATAAGATATCACTGCATCATTAAAACGTCTTTATTCTCATCATTTCCCAAACATTTCCACTGTGCACTGGTCGATCCAACGCTTAGATCAACAAAGAGTCAAATATAAGCCATAGGTTGAATTCTTCCATGCTTTGCTGTGAAGCTGGAATATTGAAAGTGGATATTGCTTGAAGCTCAAGGTTTTTCAGATGTTCAAAGTCATTCGTGCATGGCCCCGGGGCAAGGTATATTGCCTTGGACATCTATCTTAAGGCTATGAGAACATTGACTACATGGTTGGAAAAAAGCCATGTGTTTACACAGATGTTTCAAGCTTTTAGCACACAGATCTTCCTGTACTGAGCCGCACCACCATCTTTTGTGCCAAGGGCCATATACATTTTGCATTAGGTTACCCTTTGATACAGAAATGAAGGAGGGCAGGAGAGCTTGCAGACTTTTGCACGCAGCGTCGGAAACAAAGTGGAGATTCTCAGCGCTGCCACTTGTATTTTTCTCTGAATCCGATTTAAATTGAGTAAAACTTTGCCATTAAACATTTAACATTTCCATCACTGCGGCTTAATTTCTTCCAGTTTGTATTCTATGTACATTTTTTTTTTTTTTTTTTTAAAAATCGGTGCTGCGAGGTGAGACTCATTGTGCCTCTCCACATTTCTACTATTAAAACAGAGAACAAAAAAAAAAGATACGAATTTCATCCCGGTTGCAAGGACAAATTGCCGGCACTAGGAGGCAATTTGCCTGTAAGGCACAGTTGCCGCACTGACCCTTTATGTTCCCTGTAAAGGTCAACATTTCCTTTTCTTTTGTTTTACTCCATGCATGCATAAATCAAAGCTCTTGGCTATTTTCCTCTTTGAAGTGGGAAATACCACCCATCAAAAGCAAAATACAACCTGTACAATGATAGAATACTTTGAAACAACATAAAATAAAATACATGTTTAGATGTAGTTTGTGGGTCGGTTTAGGAATTAAATGACTGCGGTAAATGTAATTTGGTTCAGCATCAGCAATCAGGGCTTTCCCATATTTGTTATGCCAAATTGTAATTTTGCACATTAAATACACCCTCTCTTCTGCTACTGTGCAAATAAATTAGCAGTAACAAACAGCAAACATATGGCACGATCCAATAATATCACTTCTCAGCACAAGTTGTAAACATGATTTACAATTTGCAAGATATTATTTATTGTGATTCATGTTTGTGTCAGCTCAACACCGGAGGTTAATAGAAATGCCAGCATGCTCGCTGATTTACTTAGTAAAATTTTCATCCCAAGGTTCAGGTTGAGAATATTGGAGTCGGAGAGAGTTACAGGATTCATGCATTATGCAGAAGAAGCTGACACGACCTTCAGCCATCACAGTCTTATCTATATATCACACTGGGCTTGACCCTCCCAAGGCCAGAGGGAGCATTTGATATATTTAACCACTACTGCCATTAAATTACTCACATTCTTTAAGAGCTGAAAACATGTTATACAGCTAGCAACATGGAGGCAATATCATTTTGATTAAAAGTGGTTTTACGCCTTGTGTTTGCTATTAAACACCGGTGATGCTTCAGCAATAAGGGAGACATTCATAAGTCAACAGCAAACTTAATCAACTAATAAATCTCCTGCATGGCCCTTCTGATTTTTATGCCTCACATTATGACTTCACCATATGTCGGCCATATGTAGAAATAAAAAAAAATTCTTTGCTCCGGCTGTTTGATACAGAACACATCATAAAGTGATTGGAAATAAAGTGCTATTTTAGAGGGTAAGGCCCATTTAAATATAATTGGCTTTA